TACATGACTCTCAAGGTTGTGTTCTTTTTGCTCTCTGCATGCCCCTCACGTGTAAATGTTCTTAATATCTGTGATTGGATGATCTTTCATTTAGGGATGCTATGTCTTGTGCTCTTTTTTTTTTTTTCCTTTATTTTGGTGAAGTTCTATAATTTGTGCTAGTCTTAGCGCTGATTAATCATTATTTGCTGACACCCTCTCACTTCTCAGTTATGGGACATAAATATGGATTCTGGTCCTGTTTCAACCTTCCAGGTTCATGAGTATCTAAGACCGAAGGTGAATTACTTATACATAGAAAGCAATTTGAAGTGTCTTCTTCCTGTGATTGGGCTGATTGTACGGTTTAATTTGATGGCATGCAGCTATGTGATTTATATGAGAATGATTCCATCTTTGATAAATTTGAGTGTTGCTTAAGTGGTGATGGCCAACGAGTAGCTACAGGATCCTATAGGTATCCAAATTATCTTTACATTTTGTATAGATCTCATTATTTATCCCCCCTTTTTCAACATCTTTTCCTGTATTTATCAGTTTATCTAAATATTTGCTTTGCTTTCAGTAATCTGTTTCGTGTGTTTGGTTGTGCTGCTGGAAGCACAGAGGCAACTACACTGGAAGCTAGTAAAAATCCCATGAGGTATTTTTATTGACATACATTTGCTTTGGCAAATTTATTTATTGTGATATTGCAGTATTTTGTTGTTTATGACAACTTTTGACAATGCTTGTTCAGGAGACAAGCACAGACGACCCCTTCAAGGCCTTCCAGATCCCTAAGCAGTATAACTCGTGTTGTCAGGCGAGGTCTGCAATGTTGTATAATATATATTATTTCATGCCATTACAAGTTTGGGACATGTAACTTTTGTGCAGCTCTATTTGAAAGGGAAACTCAAATGTTGTAATAATTCATTTACAGGAGCAGAAAGCCCAGTTGTAGATGCAAATGGAAACACATTTGACTTCGCAACGAAATTGCTCCATTTGGCTTGGCATCCAACTGAAAACTCAATTGCTTGCGCTGCTGCAAACAGCCTGTACATGTATTATGCGTAAGTTGCACAGGAAGAGATACATTTCTTGGTTAGCTTTTTTTGTGGTTGCGTTTTGAGAAGGGCCATATTTTGCTACAATTTGATGCTTTACTGCACACTTCCGAGTGTTCCTCACTGATGCGAAGCACATGCTCTCAAGTTTCCAGTTCAGAAGTGACTGAAGAATTAATGACAAAGCAATGCTATTGATCGTATTAGTCTCCTTTTCCCTCCTTACTGTCTTATGCTTCACTCTCTCCCTTTTACTTTTTTTTTCCTTTTACGGTCCTCACCCAAAAGTTGCAACTCTTCTTACTGTGCTGTTATTGGAGTTGGGAAAAAAATTGTCAATTGTAGCTCTCCTACAAGAAAAAAGAAGAAAAAAACAGAAGAATGTGCAGAATTGCCACTAGTTTAGTTAATGTAGATCTTGATGGGAAGGAGCTGCTGCTAACATGCAGGGCATTATGCTTGACTTTGGGATAGCATTAAAATTTTTTGTAGGATAATTTTAGTGTGCTTTTATTATAGATTATCAACTAAAGTAATTTTTTTTACTGTTTTTTGTAAAAGAAATTACAAGTGCTCTGGAATTCAGTTACCTGTACTTCTTCTGCATGCTCATTGGTAAAGAAAGGATGTTAGTGGTGAATTTTTCTTTACTTTGTGAAATAAATAGACTCACCTGTGTTTGCTTCAGTTACCTTTTCTTCTGCATCACTGGTAAATAAAAGATGCCAGCTTTTTTTGATTGTTACATGGGAATGCAGGGATATTTGCGTTGGTACGGGCAGTACTAGGATGTTGTACAATGGTACCATCAAGTTAAAGGATATATTAAATCCTGTTTGGTTTGCGAAAAATATTTAAGGGAAAGTGAAATACCATGGAAAGAAATCATCATGAAAATTGATTCCATTGGTTTGTGGAAAAGAAATTGTTTGAGAATATTGATTCTGTTGTTGGGTTGGGGTTGAAAGGGTAATAAATAATGATAGGTATAAAGATTAAAATGTTTATGGAAAATAAAATATTATCTCAAAAAATTTTTTTTTCTCAAAATTAAGAAAAACTTTTTCCTTGTAAAACTTTTTCTATCCAGTCAAACATGCTCCTAGTCTTGGAGTCATTGTCATCCTTAGCTATTGTGATGGTGGTAGTTACTGGTTAGGTTTTTTCAATGAGGATAATTGAGAGTCATTCTCATCCTTAGATATGGTGATGGTGGTGGTTACTGGTTAGGTTTTCTCAATGATTGGAAATTGAAGATGGTGAATTTGGGGCAATAGTAGTGACTATTAATGTGCATAAGTAAATTGGACGGTATGAACTTAGAACGAGTGTAATGATTGTTTTGAGTAAACAAACAATTGCATCATCTGGAAAAACAAAAATAGCATAGCTTTGGTGAAAAACAAAAAATTATGTATGCATTAATTTGATATAAATTTATATCATTTTGAGGTAAATCCATATTTCAGTCTAAACTAGTATTGTTTTAACTTATAATCGTGAATCTAACATGCATTGGTTTAAGTCCAATTCCAAAATAAAGAGAAGTCAATTTCTTAAGTTTATGTGAAGAACTTAAAATATATCATTTCTTATTACAAGAGAATAAATGAGTTTTAAATTGTTTCAAAGATTTTTTTTCACCAATATTAATTGGAGAAAAAAATAGAGTTGAACGTCAGAGGTGGTAGCAAAGAGTAGCACAATAGAGACAATTCTATTATCATTAGAACTGTTAAAAACTTTAAACTATATAAAATGAATCAAATCAGGACCAAAAACTAATTTGTGTCTATTTTAGTATTATTTTTTGCTTTCAAGATTTTTTACTTTGATGAAAATATGTGTTTTTAAAGTAATATCAATTCTATTACAAAGTAGTATATGTTCAACATACTTCGAAATTCGATTGTATGACCTTCCTTCAAAGAGAGATACATAGGTGCTAACCGAGCACAAAGTACTTGACAAAATATGTGTTATTTTATTTAAATTTGAAACTATAGAAAATGAATAGTTTAACAAGGCTGGTGACATTAGATAGGTTTGATTGGTATAGTATCCTCATGACACTGTAACTTGGTGTTTTCTATTAGTAAACTTGTTTTCCTAAATTAGGGTGTTAAGTAGAAAATTGAAGAAAAGCTTTCCATTTCTTAGTTTTGGAAAATGATACAAATGAACACAAACCTATTTTTCACTTTTTGTTTTTTGTTTTCTGGACAAATTTAAAAAATCTCTAATTACTAAACATACCGTACTGACCTACTTCTCTACTCAAGAAGTAAAATGAACAAATTGTTAGACAAATATATAAACATGCTGCGGTAGAATTAAAAACTTGAGTCGTCTTATTGCCCGGTTTATAGCTGGGCACGCAAGAACTCTCAAATTTTACGTGAAAAATTGTTTTTCTTTCTAATAAATATTTCTCTATTCCTCTCTTCAAGAAAAAGGGCAAGAATATTTATATAACTTGATTTGGACCAAAATTAGCCTATATTGAATTAATTCATTAATTAGCTATTAATGTATTAATCCAATATCGATAACTCCTTATCGAATTGTTACAAATATCATGCAACATAACTCCCACACAACAATTGTTTCGAACCAGGTAAAGGAAATTGTCAAACTTGGTCAAACTCATAAACCTAGTTTAAAATGCATATTCAATATTCTTAATTTGAAGTCCAACTACTTTATACTCTGACCATAGATTATTGTTATTGGTGAAAAAAAAATTAATTTTCAAACTATATTCATAACTTTGGAGAAAAAATAATAAAAAGAAAAAAATTCGAATATTTTTGAAAACGTTTTTGTTTCTCATTGTTAAGAAAAACGTGAATATGAATTAGAATATATATTTTTTCACTTTTCAAAAAAGGTGAAATATGTCGTTAAAAGATTCTTTTTGCGCAATCAGGTAAAAGGTGAAAATCAAACTCTAGAATGTGCAAAACTTTTTTTTTTTCCTACTGGCTGTCTTACAAGTCAGCAATTTATTATGTCAAAGCACATCAATTTTTTATGCTTTTCACTGTTAGACAAATTCTTATTGTTATTATACTTAAAAATTTTGTCTAGTAATAGTTAAAGATAACTATTCGGACATACCATAATTAAAACTTATATTAACGGATAAATATTCGGGCTTATTGAACATTTAAAATTCAGTTCAAATTTTATGTGTCATATCGAATCATCATAATTATATCCACCCCTTTGGCAATTCAAAAGGTAAAAGTTGTCAATATGTATATATGGTAGACTACATCTACATATTAAGTTATTGATAGGTTTTTAAAAATAAATAGTAACGTGTTTTTGCTACATATATACACTAGCGTACATGTAAAACTATAAATTGTGCACATTTATCCTCTACTTCTCATTTCTCTCTCTTTACTTTTTAATATATACTCTGTAATATGTTTAAAGTTTCAATTGATATCGGTGTCTCTTGTACATAATAAAATCAGTAGTACTAAAAAAAAAAAAAATTGTATAGTGTAATATGTAAAAAATGTCGTAGTATTTGATAAAATCGTAAATTATTTTTCAAGAATTTTTGATTTGTATTTAATGCAAAAGGTAGATATTGATCTTGATTTTTATTAGATTTTATATACGGAGTATATGTAAGTAGTTTTCAAAAAATATATGTAAGTATTAATTGGTGATGATGTGGCGGCCATCGATAAAATTGAGTTGTTGCTCTTAAATGAATTGTAAACGCAGCCCCTTTATGAATTGTCTTCTTGTTCGCGACTTCCCAACTGCAATGGGCTAAAACTCCACCAGAAATCTGAAGTCAACAACAACAATCACACAAAAACAATCCCCAAAACTTGTTTTCTTCCTTCAATCGCACCCCCAAACAGGAAATGTTAAGCCCAATTTGATTGCGAAGATTCAATATTTTTCCGCGTTTTAGATCAGAATATGCAAGACCTACCGCCTTTATACCCTCCTCCTCCTCCGATCAATCCTCAATTACCGGAGCAAGAGCATCTGAAATGCCCCAGGTGCGGCTCCATGAACACAAAGTTCTGCTATTACAACAACTACAACCTCTCCCAGCCCCGCTACTTCTGCAAGAGCTGCAAAAGGTATTGGACTAAAGGCGGCGTTCTCAGGAACATCCCCGTCGGCGGCGCCTCCCGGAAGACCACCAAGCGTTCGTCTTCTTCTTCTTCTTCTTCCGATGAGAAACGCTCCTCAACGACGTCGTCTTTGCCCTCGTCAACGGCGACGAAATCGTCGTCGTCTTCTGCTCTTCCCGGTGCCGATGTGAACGGGAGCCTTAATTCGCATTTGGCGTTGTCGATTGGGGGGCATTCTGGGGGTTTCCTAGACAGGTCGGGTAAGCATTTAGGCGACCCGAGTAGAAATTCTGGCTCTGGGTCGGGCTCCGATTGTGTCGACAATGGAGGCAGGAATGGTGGCCAGCTGGCCTGATCTTACTATTTATGGATCACCGGGCCCCACCTTCCAAAAAAAAAAAATCATAATAATAAAAATTGGAAATATATGTTCAAAATCAAAATTCTGTAGTGGTCTTTCTATTTTTATTTGTTGTCCTGTATCATGTATGATATCACTAGTCACTACTAGTCTACTATATTACTGTTGTAGAATTTACTGTAATTTCTAATTTTAGATTTAATGTTAATTTTTATATTATAATTTTATTTTTTACTTTTAATTATTTATTATTTATTTAATTTAATTTAATCATTTGCTAATTACCAAAATGGTCTAGTGACTCTAGGGGCATGAAGTGGTTCTCCCAAATAGAAGATCATGGGTTCTTCCATAGTAGAAATGAATAAATACTACATTATAACAAAGTTAATAATACTAAAAAAATCATTCAACAAATCATATTCAGGACCTAATCTTTCGATTTTAAGTCGTTATATCGTGTGCACCGTGGTAAGAAACGGTGTCGTTTCTTTAAGTAAAGAAACGGCTCGCCGTTACCGTTAACGGAACTGACACTACAGTATATCTAAATTGACACTGCCTCACGACAAATGAAACTGCAGTTATATCAAAATGATACTGTAGTTGTGGTGAAATGAAACTGAATAACATTTCACATATTTGAGTGTATATTGTACAATGAAGCTGTAATTATATCAAAATGGTAATGTAGTTGTATTTTAATAAAACTATAGTGTCTATCTACTATACTAATAAGAACCCAAAAGAGTTAGGCCTATAATGGGTAGAAAAAATGACGGTAACAGATTTTAATCAAATAAATAACTCAGATTAATTAAAAGATTGATCAGATTTAAATTTTACACTAAAATTTCTTAAAATACCCACACACCGTTACTAATTCCGTTAAAATTTTAAGAATTGCCGTTAGTTCACCGTTAACTTACTCATTGATTTCAATAAAAAAAGGTCTTAGGTTCGAACCTCATCCCAATCAAAGTTGGCATAATTAGTACTCTATTTTACTCTTATTAAATTATATAAATAATAATTTAGTAGTTACAACAAAAAATAATACATATGCATTTCTTTAATTTAGAATTATGTGTCCACAATGCCTTTATTAAAAAAAAAATTATTCATTATCAATCAATTAAATGAAAAAATTAAAAAAATATAATTAATAAAGTCAACCATATTAACTACTTGAGAGATTTTGTGACAACGAGAGTATTCAAATCACACAACAAATTGAAGTGAGAACTACCTCGCAATGTCCTTGTTTGACAATCAGCAGTTAGCGGTTAACGTTAGCGGATTATACTAGCGAATTTGACCAGCGAATTTATTTAATTATTAACATTGGGTAGAAAAAATGACCGTCAAATTATTAAATCAAATGAATGGTTCATATTGTTCAGGTTTTAATTTTTTCTTTTAAGATTTTCTAATTTATCCTTAATTATATGATTATCCATTTAACTTTTCCGTTAATTCACCGTTAGTCTAATTCTAATATCAAAGTCTAATATAGAATTATAACTACACCATTAATCTAATTTTAATATTAAAGTCTTAATAGAACTTAACCACAAATCCTAATGTCGGAATCTCCTCAAACAATATTAGTATATATTTAATATTTTATGTCCTTTTTTATTTGTTCTCCCTTATGTCCCGTATTTGGTTTCAACGATACCTATACAATTATTTTATTGACAATTATAATCAATCTTGACTATATTATCTTGCATTTGTAAACTTAGAATTACCTATTTAACCCGCACGGGTTTAACTCAATGGTTTAGTGGGTAGTATTTGGGAGAAGAGACGAAGGTTTGAACCTCGGCGGCAGCAGTGCGGGAATTATGTCCAAAGTGGGCAAATTCCTTGTGCATATCAGCATTTGGCCCTGTCTGCTGAACCATTGAGTCACCGTGATTTACAACTTCCCACAATGCTCTGTCGGGTCGGAGTGTAGGGGGGCCCTTGGGGTTGGGGACTCAACCTTTGGGAGAAGAATTACCTATTTAAATACGCAAATTCAACATTCAATTATCTATGCATGAACAATTTCAATATAATCCTGTCTTAATATACTTTAAAGTACTTATTTAAAAAAAAGCATTGGGCATTATCTCAATCGCGTAAAAAACTAGTATATAAAATAAAATTAAATAACATTTTCACATATTTGAGTCTATAAATATCGAATGAAACTGTAGTTGTGTTGAACTGAAACTGCAGTGTATACAAAATGAAACTGAATAACAGAGTCACTTTTTGCGAACGGGTGTGGAACGGCGGAAACAAATGTCGTTTCTTTTCATTTAACAAAACGACATCGTTTTAATGCACGGTGCATAATCGATTATTCAACGCGGTGCACGATATGATTTGCGTTGGATTTTGAGTGTCACATCCGAGGTCGACTCTATAGGTATATAGTTGACTATGATTTCGTGTCCAAGATAAACCTCATTATTCGAGTTGGGTATTTATGCTGTCAATATTATAAATAGATTAGAACAATTTATTATGTTAGAATCTTATTTAATATATATATATATATATGGTGAAATTAAATTATAAAAATACATATAAATTTTTTTATTTTTTATTTTTTGAAAGGAAAGGATATCATTAAAGGAAAGGATATCATATAAATTAAGTGTTCATGAGTGAGTTGCTATCATTTTATTTTTGCTTCTCAAGTTCTACTGCATATTTGCTAGATGTATGTGCAATCGTTATATCCTACACCACGGCGCACATAGCACTGTGCGTCTCCCAAAACGACGTCGTTTTGGGTAGTGTTGGGAGGCGCGGTAGGAAGTTGCTGAGATTATGTGTATTTGTTCATAACGTTATGTGTATTGGTTCATACAGTTATGTGTATTTTTTATACAATTATGTACATTCTTTTTATACAATTATGTACATCCGAATCAGAAAATTTGTGTGTATTATGTTAAGAGTTGATGTGTATTATGTTAAAAGTTTATGTTTATTATGTATTATGTTAGATTATGTGTATTATCTTTTAAAAAGAGTATGTATATTTTGTTATATAATTATGTACATTCATGTATAACATTATGTGTATTCTAGTATAACATTATGTACATTCTTGAACAGCGGGTTTTTTTTAAAAGAAAAAACTACTGCCATTCACTGGGGCGAAAAATTTCAAAAAAAAATAAAAATTAAAACGACGCCGTTTTGCATCTGGACGCATAGTGCAACGCGCGCCGTGGTGTAGGATATAAATTGCGATGTATGTGATGTTAATAATCCATGAACCATATTAGGCAGATCAACTGGTGTGAATATGGTGGCCCAAGCCCAAGATGCAACCGGCCCATATAGAACGAGTGTAAATGATCCAGCCCATGACTCAATCACACCGCAAATTATGGCAATTTATATTGTGCATCAGGGCGCGCTTTGTATTGTGCACCCTGATGCAAAACGACGTCGTTTTACATAATAGTATAAAAAATACACATAATTATATAAAAAATACACATAATTGTATGAACAAATACACATAATAATATAAACAAATACACATAATCACGTTGACTCCCTTCCGCACCTCCCAAAACAACGTCATTTTGTTAGGCGCGGGACGCACAGTGCTGCGCGCCGTGGTGCAGGGTATAACGATTGGCAAATTATACTGTGTATCATGATTTACATTGCAAGGTAGACCATTGATAGATGGTATTTTTAGTATAGATTGATTATTTATTTATTTTTTTAAATGCTACTGACTCTATTTTTTTGAATGTTTATTTTTAATATATTATAAATTTATTTTTAGATAATATACTAAAAATGGATATACAACACAATAACAATAAACATTCAGAAAATAAACTTAGTACACTAAAATGAACTCGTATGTAAGACGAAGGATGACTAAGTAAATCATCTTGATGAGTCTGAAACTAATAAGTTGTTGAGTGTTGGATAGAGTCATTGTGGAGACGGATTCATAAGCGATGATTCATGCCATTAAGGGGGAGAGTGATACTCGCTCGGAGATTGAAACGTTGATTACTGATTGCAAAGCTTTCATGGGGCGAATTTGTGATTGTGAAATCACCCATGTTCTTCGGAAAAGCAACCAGTGTGTAGATTGCATTGCTAATTTGGGGCAAGGCAGTTAGATAGTGGCAGGAGGACTTTGATCTTGGAGCACCCCCGAAAGGCGTAAAGGGCATCTTGAAGAGGGATGCAAGATGTGTGGCTATTAGAAGAGTTTACTAACCATTGGAACATTTTGATCCTTAAAGAGCACCCAAAAAAAAAAAAAAAAGTTTAGCTACCTATTAAGAGTGACTCAAAAATCGAATGAGTTGACCTGATTGACATTTCTAATCCTAAGTACACCTCAAGTTTGCGGACCAACTTATCAATGCATAATTATTGTTTAAAGAATGGAAAATGGCCAAATAGGCCCTTGAACTTTGCTTAAAAATGCAAGTAAGCCCCTGAACTTCAAAAAAGTTCAATTAAACACCTTGTTAAAATGTGTCAACTAAGTCCAATTTACCGGTAAAATTCTTACCGTCAATCATGTTCATGATCGTTAAAAAAAAAAAAAATGCCAGCGTCATTTTCCGGTCTTCTCCACCGGATAAGACAGTCTGGTCGTCTTCTCCATGGAGAATTCGACTAGCCCAGTCGTCTTCTCCATGGAGTTCTCCCATGGAGAAGGCGACCAGATCTAGTCATCTCTTCCATGGAGGAGACGACCAGACCGGTCGTCTCCTCCATGGAGAAGATCACCGTCTAGTCCCCTTCTCCAATGGAGAATGGGACCATTGGTCGTCTTTTCCAGCGAAGAAGATGACCAGTGACGGTTGTCGATCTTTTTAAAAGACGCCGAAAATTTTTTATCGTCAGAATTATCGTTTGAGTATTTAATTGCACTTTTTTAGAGTTTAAAGGCTTAATCGTACTTTTGAGTAAATTCAATGGCTTATTGATCATTTTTCCTTTAAAGAAAGATGGCAGGTGGATCAAATTCATTCAATGAAATAGAAAGTTTTGTGTATTGTACAAAGTCCATATTAGACAATAGATATGTAGACGTGGTATATCCCTCCAGCCCTCATTCATCACCCCCCAAAAAAAAAAAAAAGGGAGAGTTGCTTGTAATGGTAAAAATAGTTAAACTCATGCTATAAAATGTACCATTTATAAATTATGAAAAAAAAAATAGAGCTTGGATTATATCTTTATTTTTTTTCTAATACTTACTAATCTTTAAATAGTAAAATAATATTTATTTGATTTAATCCTTAGAATATTGGTAAATACTTTATTTAAAATAGTTATAGGTAGAACTTTGCAATTGGAGTCTAACATCATCTCTGCTTTAAATTAGTAACAATTTAATGTAACAATTAAAATTGTTAAAAACTAATTATTGAACCCAATTATTCAATAAATTTTGTAAAGTAATAATTATTAAAAAAATTTACATCTATGTTGTTATAAATGAGATATGTTACCAAGACTATGTGGTCTAATGGTATCCGGGTTGGACTTCCATTTGAAAAGATGATGAGTTCAAGCCTTAGTGGAGACGTTATTGGTTCTTTGTGTAATACTACACTGTATTAGGGCCAGTAACATTCAAAAAAAAAAAGAGATATGTTTACTTCAACTATCTTGTTTTTTGTTTATTCAATTTTTATTCTCTATTATTTATTTTTAAATTGAATAAATGTAAAAAATAAACATGTTGTACGGAGCATATAATAAAAAACTTTATTCAGCTAGGAAGCAGCTTGGTAAATTATTCTGTGGACCAAGGTGAACATTGCAATATTAACCTGAGTCTAAAATACACAATTTATATATTGAATTTCACAATTTTATAAAAGGGTAAATTGTGAACATTAAGCATGTAAATTGTGTATTTTAGACACGGACCCTGGTCCATGGCAATCGTTATGCTGTGCAACCTTGTGCACCACGGCTGCGAACGGCGTCGTTTCACTATGGTGGAGTAACGGTGTCGTTAGTGGCACCGTTTAACTCCACCAATTTTATTATTATTTTTTTTTTAACTCCAATCGACGGGGTTTCAACCATTTTCGGTGTGGATATATAGTTCACTAATTCTGGATATATAGTTCATTAATTATGGATACATAGTTCACTAATTCTGAATATATAGTTCATTAATTCTGGATATGAGTTTTTTGCACTTTTGGTCCCACGACTTTTAAAACTTGTAGAATTGGTCCACGACTATGACTTTCTTAGCAAAGTTGGTCCTTCCGGTGCATTTTCCGTTCAATTTTTGCCCGAAAAATTTACTCCCCATTTTAACATGGGTAATATTGTCTTTTCCATCTCACAAACTAATGACATAAATAAATAAATAAACAGCTAAAAAATTTTGGCGTTTAGCGAGGAGGGTGAAACTGAAAGTGGAATTGAAATTGGGTGTCTTTTAATTTCAATCATCGTACCACTGACTGTGTTTAATTAATTAATTTATTTATGTCATTAGTTTGTGAGATGAAAAATACAATATTACCCATATTAAAATGGTGAGTACAATTTTCTGGCAAAAATTGAACATAAAATACACCGGCCACCGGAATGACCAAATTTGCTAAGAAAGTCATAGTCGTGGATCAAAGTTGTTAGTGACACCATAACTATGGGACCAAAAGTGCAAAAAACTCTTCTAGATATATAGTTCATTAATTCTGAATTTATCGTTCATTAATTATGAATATATAGTTCATTCATTTTGAATACACAGACGCAGCGAACTGCCATAAGCAAAACATAGTACTAGTAACCGATGTGGATATATATTTCATTAATTATGGATATATAATTCATTAATTCTAGATATATAGCACAACATAACGTCGTTAATGACAATAAAAAATAAATTATTATTTTTTAAGTCGAATGCTCAAAACGACACCATTTTTGTAATGGTGCACACAATTACACCACATAATTTGCCCGTCCATGGTATAACAAGTGAAGCAATTTGTCACCCTTGTAGTTTTGAATAATAAAACAATATTTATTTCTATGGGCTAATGGACCAGACAGAAGACAGTCAGAAATATTTATAATTTGTGATAAAATATGCTTAGAAAAATGAAATACCCAGAATGCCCTTGCGTATTTGCTTAGTGAAGATATAATTACGAAGAAAATTAAAAAATAAATTAGGGGCTAAATAAAAAAAAAAAAAAAAATCTCAAAAAAAAAAAAAAACCCAAATTGCTGTGTTCTTCGTCTGGTCTTCCCCTTCTCCCTGGACCCTGTCACAGCTGTATCTCAATTCTCAAGGCTCGATTCCCTCTCGTCAATCGCTTCTCCGTTACAGAGTTTCCGCGTACTGCACCGCAATACTTGTTGCCGCCCAGAGGGCCTAATTTGGAACCAAAATATAATGTACGGAGGCGCCGGGAAGCATGGCCGCGGTGGCGGCGGAGGAGGCCGTGGCAACGGCGCCGGCAAGCGCAACATCCACTCATCATTTCACACGCCTCCTATTCAGAGGTCTTCTGGTGTCTCCGGAGGCCGCCTGTCAGGCGGCAGTGGAGCCGCTGGTCCCCGCAACCGTGGCGGCATCTCTTCTGCCCCCAATTCATCTGCTCCTTCCAATGCGGTAGAGGAGAGTTTTAACCTCGTTACTAAAAATCCTTTGGACTTCGCAATGATAATTCGGCTGGCGCCGGGCCTCGTGGAGGAGATCAAGCGCGTGGAGGATGAGGGGGGCATGGCGCAGATCAAATTTGATGCAAATGCTAATAATTGTATCGGAAACGTGAGTATTTGAATTAATTTGCCTTTTTTATTCTCTGGATTATGATTTTATTCTGATGTTGAAATTTAAACTTGGAATTTCGCTTTGTGGAGCATGCTGCATTTGGAGAAGCCAAAAAGTTTGTGGCATCTAGATGTCAGCCAGTTGAATTCATGTGTTCCTATGGGTAGTGTATTCATACGGGAAGATAATACAGTATATTTTAAACTAACACTGATAAATAAGTGGAACTACAAACTTCATTTAGCTTTCAAAATGTTCATTCCTGCTCCATTAAAGAAATTGCTTCTCCCATGTGGGATTCCAGACTTACCCCACTTGTTGGGAAGGAGAAACTTGGCATTTTTAGGTTCAAACTGCTCTTGACTAATTTGATCCATTGGAGGTTCATCTACATTAAGTCAGACTGGGGCAAGATTTTATGGAGTCAAGACTGATACCCAATATGATTGCTGGAAGCATTGGATTTTAAATTTTACAGTTTTACACCAATTTCCTCTAAGGAATTAGAGAACAATTTTTTTAGAAGAAGCTTTTCTCATGAAAAGTTTTGATCAGTTCATTTCCTACCTGAGGTTGCTTGGGGTCTGGAAAACTATGAATTTCCATCTGTTGAGACATACTCTTGGATTTTGCTGCGTCAAGGGTTTTTGTCAACTGCTTAGATGCTAGCATAGTTTTGGGCTGCTTATTTTAAATTGGTCATGGCATTAAGATAGGCTTTTTTTTATCAGGTTATTAATGTGGGCAGTAAGGACTTTAGATTCACATGGTCACGAGATGGGGGAGACCTCTGTGACATATATGAAGAGCAGCAAAGTGGTGAAGATGGAAATGGCCTGCTAGTAGAATCAGGTAGCGCTTGGAGAAAGCTGAATGTACAGCGCGTTTTGGATGAATCAACTAAAAATCATGTGAAAATGCTATCTGAGGAAGCTGAGAGGAAGTCTAAATCGCGCAAGTATGCTCTCTTTTTATTAAAATTGGGATTATTTGTATCTATGTAATTGGTGTTTGCACAGTCAGTGATCCATCAATGAATTTTGAAATAACATTAGAATCTACTTTGATTATATTTGCTACATACTTTTATCCTTACTCTGTTAAAATCCTCTGAAAATAGAGCCATCGTTTTAGACCATGGAAATCCATCTACAAAGAGTCAAGTGAAGGCAATGGCTGCTGTTGAAGGTACTCTTTTGTTTCTACTTTTTCAGCATCTGAATGCTTTCTGATTTCTATGTTTTTCTTTGCCCTTGCTGAGGTGAAGTGTGTCACTGCATGTAAGATAAATGTCTTTCTGATTACACTTGTAGGCTTGTAGCATTGGCAATCTAAAAGACCTACTTTATATTTTCAGGTAATCCATGGAGAGCAGGTTTCAAGCAACCTCCTCTCAAGAAAAGGAAAGCTGATCCACCACCAGGTATTTTCTGATCAATATTCAATTTAGTGTTTTCTCAATAGATTTTATTTTTCCGTAATATCCCATTCAAAAATATGTTAATTTCAAGACCATTTGGTCTTTAAATTTGATTCTAAATCTTTTATTTGTTTTCCTTTTACATGTTCATGTTTCATACCTTGCACTAACTGTAGGTGGCTCTTCTAGACCTCCTTATAAATCCAGTTTATCCACAATAACTCCTTCAAAGGGAAGGCCTTCCACTTCACCTTTATCTTCTCCATTTCATCCATCTGGTAACCCAGCATCTCCATTTGGGAGTGGTCTCCAGAAAAGCCAGACAACTGTGGAAGAAGTTCCCACTCAACCCATGAATAAAACTGCTAGCTCCGACAAAGAAATTCCACCAAACCATGTGAACAGTATTGGGGCACAAAATATGCCCGGGTGCAAAAGGAGTACGGATTGCAAGCCTTCCAATCTACGTAGCTTGTTGATTTCTGCCCTTGTGGAAAACCAATCAAATGGAATGAGCCTTAAGGTATGCGAGTAAAATGGATTTTAGATGTGTTAGTTTAGTTTAGTTGTTGTGGGAATCGGATCTAGTAATTCTTCTTTACTTTTCCAGTGTTCATTTCTTGGCATATAATTCTTGCTGAATTTGTTAGTGCATATATGAATTCATTCAATCTCTGTCAATGCATCAGGTTTTTATATGATTTCTTCTGAATTCTTAGGCCTTGGAGAAAGCTGTTGGAGATGTTTTTCCAAACTCAGCAAGACAAATTGAGCCAATCCTTAAAAAGGCAAGTAATGGAGGTTTTTTGGTTTTAAGCCTTTAATTACTGTAAAAGAGGGAGTAATAGAAAATTTAGTTAAGCAACCCTAAGCCACGCAAAAGAATTTCAAGTTGACCATTACACTTTAGATAGAAAATTGAAGGAGAGAAAAAGGAGCTATAGATGGAAGTCATAGAACAATGGTTGGTTCTCTTATATTTTGGGCTTCCACCATAATTCTCTACTGGGAAAAGAGACATTAAAGATAAAGTAAAAGGGTTAGATTAATTGTTCTTGTTAACTACTGGTTTTCTTATCGTTACTAATTTTTTGTGAGATTTATGCAGTATCTTTTAACTTTCATTCTCTTGTGCATTTTGCATGGCAGATTGCAAATTTTCAGGCTCCAGGTAGATATTTTCTAAAACCAGGAGTGGAGATGGAAAGCTTCAAGACACCTATGGCTGAAAGTGGAAGGTAATTACCAATATGTTCTTGCTTTTCCAGATTATCAAATTCACATATTTCCTTTATTACTTGAAGTTTAGTGCATAAAATTGCTTAAATCAAAGACGAAACGAATGCATGTAGGGCTGTAAGAATTTAGTTATTATGGCAATAGGTTAGTGTGCTTCTGTGAAAGTTTAGGTGTTAGGATGACAAGTTACTAGACCATAGTAAAATAACATCTAAGAACAAAGAAGTTGGCATTGCAAAGGGACTGCATAACTTGTTTGCATTTCTTCAGTACAGTCATCTTGACATTTTGATCTATCTATAAGATACTAGATATGCAGAGGTTTGTCTTAAAGCATTAGGTGCTTCCGCATCAGTGAGTTGTCAGAATTCCTTGAGCACTACTATGTTTATTGTTTATCCTATATATTTCTTTTTAATTTCATGGATTCCTTGTGACATTAGACTCATAGTTTTAGCACAAGGATAGCTATTCCATGCTCAATGCTTCTTAACATAGCCCAGGCTACTGAAGAATGTTCGCTTCATCGCTTGCAAAGATTGAAACTATTTATATAGAGTCTTCTGCTCTTTATAGTAATTAGGCTTTTTGTTTGATGCAGCACTTACTGGCTCTAATATTTTGCTTTTTGCTCTCCAGCTCTCCTGAAGAGAATTGTCACACACCACCTGCCCCCAATAAACATGACGAGTTCCCATCTTCACAACCCAGCTTTTCCATGAGAATTAATACCAATGAGTTGGAAGGGCAAGCACAGTTGAATTCTAAAACTGAAGAAGCATCTAATGCCTTAGAAGCAGTTGATATACTTGAGCAATCACCTGACTATTCTGGTGAGAAAAAGGTCTCCGACCACAATTTAGAGCCAGCAGATAGCTCTAGTGATAGTGGAAGTGATAGTGAAAGTGATAGCAGTGACAGTGGAAGTCAAAACAAAAGTAGTCCTCGGGGCAGTAGAAGTGTGAGCGGGAGTAGCAGTGATAGTGAAAGTGATGCCTCTTCCAACAGTAAGGAGCCATCTGATGTGGAAGTGGATATCATGAGTAGTGATGATGACCGAGAGGAAAAAGATAAACTGCAAGCTTCTGAACCTGGGTTATCAAAATCTCCCATTCCATCAGGAACTCAAGATATTGAGCATGGTCAGTTTGGGATTGATGAAATGGAACATGTTGATGTTGATGTTGATGTTATTGATACTGTGGAAATTGAGAACCACTTACAAGTTGGTGAACGTGGCTTGGAAAAGACCATTACTGATAAGGTACCTGTGAAGGAAGGCAAACAACGAACGGAAGAGACTGTACCTTCATCTGATCAAAATGAGAACCAAGAAAGCCAAGTCCAAGCAGCAATGTATAGTGGAACAGAAAGCATGACAAAAACAGGTTTCAAGCATGAGCAATCAGATAGCTTCAGAGCACCTAAAAGTAAGTCTAAAAGAGTTTCTGATGTAAAGCAGTTCGATGATAAACCTGATCGTACTAAAAGGTCAAAGACTGGAAGCATAAACCAACAGCAGAGTTCTGGTAGGAACCCAGTTTTTGCTGAGGGTTCTCAATATTCATCTCCTGATAGGCCCCTTGAATTCTCTTCCAAGGGTGTTGATGTGCCAATGGCTAATAGAATGGGTAGAGAAGGTACTTCTGATTTTTCTTCACAAAAAGGCTACAACCAAGCCTTTTCTGGAAACTCTCTTTCCGATTTTCATCAGCCAGATCAAAGACCTGTCGAATTCTCTGGACAGGGAAAAGCTGCTGCCACAGCAGAAAAACCAGTCAAATATGGAAATATATTGAGCCGCGGTGCTAAGTACTCTGAAAGTAGCTTTTCATTGAATGATGGTTTCCCCTCACAGAGAGATAAATTTAGTAAAGATTCAGTTCATGAAGATGGGATTCTTGATGAACAAAGAGCAACGAAAATTTCCAAAGAAGGTACAGGGGAATGGCATCAAACATCCATTGATCCCCAGTACCGGAGGTGTGATAATTTAGACCCTGGATGTTCTCCAAAGGAAAATAACACAAGTAATGTGGGAAGATCTGTAATGAACGGGCAAAATAAGAGACTTCAAAGAGAACTTTCAGACTTGGAGTTAGGTGAAGTTCGTGATTTCATGCCTGAGGAAACACCTGCATTGCAAAAACAGAGTGAGAGAAGAAGTTCCTTCAAAGGAGAGAACAAACCAACAAGTTCAGACCACTGGAATGTAGACACAAGTAAAGGAAAAGGGGCTAATAAGATTGTAGCAGGCTCAAAAAAAGCATCTCCACCTCATTCAAACATTGCAGGTGGTACTCCAGATGGCTTATTTAAGAGGAAGACCCTGGAACCTTACCCTGAAGATTGTACAAGACCTCAACAAAAATCTCAGCAACCTGTGTCTCAACAGAACCATTTCAGAGTTGATCAGAATGAAGTTGGATACCTTAACAAAGCAGCAGAAGCAAGTAGTAAAAACAGACAGAATGAAGCTGGAGGGAGCCCAGAGGTTTATGGAGATAATCGCAAAAAATTGCCTGGTGGAGCAGCAAAACGGCATGAGGCAAAACGGGGAGGTGGGCATATTTCTACTAAGGAAAGCAACATGCAGAAAGCTAATTTAGTTGCTGACCAAAATGGCAGGCGAAAGGATGCTTCTTTGACAGGGAGTAATGATGACCAGAAGCGGAAGGAATCTTCTCCAGATGAGATTAGTTGTTCATACTACAAGTATGAAAAGAAAGAGCCAGAGTTCAAGGGCCCAATAAAGGATTTCTCCCAGTAAGTATATCCATCTAATACTACAGATAAATTTCTCTACATTTTTAATCACTTAGGCAATCTATATTCTTGATTTGACTTTTTATCTTGTGTTCAACCTTGAGTAACGTATGTTGTGTTTTTTTCAGTGATCATGAAATTCTTATGTTTAAACTCAGCTCATATATCACTACATCTCTCTCTACAGGTATAAAGAGTATGTGCAGGAGTATTTAGAAAAGTATGAAAGTTATTGCTCACTAAACAAAACCTTAGAGTCTGACAGGTATCCTGAAGTTCAAATACATATGCTTGCTAAAGCTTTCAGATGGAAATTTCTTTACAAATTGTTTGATATAGTGCTTTGGGTTTATTTTCTTGATGCAATTCAGCTAACTGTCACATCTTATTACTGGAATGCTTTAGGATTAAGTTCAGTAAACTTGGAAAGGACCTGGAGGTTTGTAAAGGAAGGGACTTGGAGAGATACTATGTCATTTTGGAACAGTTGAAAGATTCTTATCGTCAATGTGGAGAAGTAAGTTCAATTTTCAGTTTTTGAATGCTTTCATTGCAATTGTGGTGGATTTGGATTTTGTTGCATTATTTTCCTATACAATTCGTATAGATGTGAAATCCATTATATTTACATCTAAACTATTTCAGCTATTTAATCAATTCACCATTTATTAAAGAAGTTGGAGATGTTCTTGTTTTAAGACATGAAGCATAAAATTCATAACCCACTTGCAGAACCTTTAGGTTCCTTGTCCAATTGCCAGTTAGTATAATTATTTTGTCAAAATGTTTAGGTTTTATGTTTGATTGTGTTAGAATAGTTAAGTGTGTTCCTAGATTAAGGTTAGGTTGGCTGCCTAAACTCAAGTTTGGAATCTTAAAATTATGAGGAACTTAATTATTTTACTTTCCTAGTACTTTAGGAATCCTAGAGATGAAGGATTTCTAGTTTCCCTATCATATCCCCCCTAATTAGCTCTCAATATTGTAATTCTTTTTAGAATTTTAATATGTTGAAGTCTATTGGAGTACATATATAAATGTTTTTCTCCTATGCTTGTTTCATTCTCCTGTTGCTTATGCCTCACCAATAGATGGTGACACTTTGCCACCTGCCAGACCACCATTTCATAATTTCTAATGCAGTACCATAGCCCACTAATATATGGCTTCTTAGCAGATTTTCAGGGAGGTAACTGTCCACTTAAAAAGCTCCCAAACAGTTTTTATCAGAAATTTTGCTGTTCTTTTCCACTTTTAAGCTCGTTCCAATTTTTGGTATTCGTGTTCCAAATATCATCAGATTTTTCTGAAGTTTCACAAGAGATGGAGCATTGAATTGTTGCAAGTTTCATGTCAATTCTGTGCTGGGGTAGCTTTACCAGTTCTTTCTGCTTATTCTATAAAGTGACCACAGCTCCAAAGAAGTTTTTTTTTTTTTTCTTCTTTTCTGGCTCTTTCCTCTACGATATGCTTTTCCTCATAAAATAACTACACACTGAAGAAGTCTTGTTTGGTTATTTCTTCTTCATGTTTAAAAAAAAAAATTAATTAATTAAAAGAACTGCTTTTTCTCAAACTAACTAGTGTCCTATTCCTTCCTGAAGTACCAGTTTTAGTTTCCATCAACAACCCCAACTAGAGTTCTTGTTTCAGTCCTGGCTTCACTTCAATTTCCAGTTTTTGCATTTGGTCTAGCTTCTATTTTTAGTTTCATGAATAAACTGTTCACTGCATTTTTATTAGATCATTGAGCCTTCAATAATTAGGATTTGCGTCAAATTTACTGGAGACCTTTGTTGATAATTTTTATGCAAGTTGGACGTGCAAGATTTGTCATTTTTCTATGCAAGTTTGACATATTTCATATGCTCCAACATGAGGGGGAGCTTAAAATAGTTGTGTGTTTTCCTGATTTGATGTTAGGGCAGCCACCTAAACACAAGAGTCTTATAAGTATTAGGTATTTGATACTTTAGTTTCCTAGTAACTTTAGGGGTCCTACAACATGTTTGGTTCACGGAATGAAAATTTAGGACATAGGAATGCTGTTCTATAACGAATAGAATAGGAATTATATTCCATGTTTGTTTCTCAGAGGGAATAGATTTAGGATTACAGAAGGAATCCTGTTCTAATTTCTGGTTGATTTAAGGAATAGATAAATTAATAAAATTACAAGAGTCTGCACACACACATTGACACATATATGTGTATTTGCAAAAGTGATATTTTTGGTATTATAATACTTCATACAATCCAATACATTCTATTCTATTGTAATACATGTTCATTCTCTTGTTCTTTATGCCTCACTGGCAGGTGGTGGCTTATAGCCACCCTATGGACCACCAATTTCAAATAGTCTGGATAATACTTTATGGGTGATGTTTTGCTGGATATAATTATTTGCTTTCCAATTTTCATCTGTTAATATAACATGAAGATAGATTGCTTTATTATACTGATGAATGGTGCAAACTATCTAGTGCAATCTACTGACATGAAAATACAATGCTGGTGCAGAGGCATAAACGACTCAAGAAAATATTTGTTGTGCTTCATGAAGAACTGAAGGTGATGATATAATCCATCTCTTACTACTAACTTTTGAGCCTTAGCTCTATCTTATTTACATTTCCAGATATTTAGAACTAGATATTATTTAATTCTTTGTAAGCATAATGCATATATGCCCAAATTCTAAAAATAGCATCTTGGTTTGCAGCATTTGAAGCAGATGATGACAGAATTTGCTGCTTCATATGCCAAAAATTGACAACCTGATTTCTCCCTGGTTTCGCCTATTTGAATACTTACCCTTTGGTGTCTCATGGAGAGAATTGCTCTGGATATTGCCATTTAATTTTGATGATTTGAGCGCATATGACAGTCTTCTTGTCGGTGAGAAATGCGGTCTCTGATGGTCCATTCACATGGAGCTCCAATATCCTTGTGCCCAGTAGCGACAAAAATGCTGTGGTTTGGTCGAGTGATCCAGTGCTCAATTTTGAAGAGTTTAGAGCAGTATACGAGGGAAGCGGCAGAAATAGTGGGTTGGTAGTAATGACATAATTGGATGTAAATAGAAATTGGAAAGTAAAATTTCTGTTTCAACTCATTTTTTTCTTCCTTTTTTTTTTTTTTCCTGTAGATTACTGGGAGCTGTTTTTTGTGTTGACACCTGCACCCATCCAGGTGCATTTCTTTTAGGTTTTTCATCACACTGTAACTCATGCATGTGATGATCCTACAAATGGTTTGGGTGAACTTGTAAGTAGTTATTGATTTACTAGATACTTGGAGAACATGAAGGAGCTGGTTCCAAAGATACGTGCCCATTACTGCTTCGATTGTATTGAGGTTGTTGATGAGTCCCACAAGGTTGGGAGATTGTGTCCAAACTTAGTTCCTCACTACTAACAAAATCAACACTACTAACTAACGGAAGGCAGTATAGTATTTCAGAAAAGAAATTAAGGTTAAAGATTAAAGTCTGTCTGCTGAGTTTAAGTCAACGTTATTTACATTTTTCCAAATACTTTTTCAGGCCAAGGTATAGAGGGCCCTTGGGTATATATTATATAGCCATAATGCCCTTCATCTAGACATTACATCCTGATTACTCAACTGCAACTTTTTTTTTTCTTTTTTTAAAATACTCATTCTCAAGTATTTTCAATCTAAATAATCTAAGCTCCCATCAACCTATGATCACCCACTTAGAATGCAACTTAATCAGCCACCGAATTGAATTTTGACCACCCATTTAGAATGCAACTTAATCAGCCACCAAATTGAATTGCCCAAGTTTATACTACACATCGCTACCTAACTCAAACCAAAAAGACTAACAAACAACTTCTACGATAAGTCAAATTTAGAAATTTATGATGAGCAAATCAGCTATCTGACTAACTCAACTCAGCTGGAGTTTGGCCTGCGGTAAGTTGCATTTGTCACTTCATTAATCAATGCATCAAACATGACTCGTTCCATATGGTTAACAAGATCTGATAGTTGAAATACAATTATAGTTAATGGGCACAACGGCAACTTTCTGGTGCAACAACTCAATAAAAATAGACACTAAGTATCAGCTCAGCTACAATGCAATTTTTGTCCAAAAACTGATAAATAAAAAGTGTCTCAACATCCAAGAAATTAAAGAGAAAAGACAAGCAAAATAAAAAAACTGGAAATCAGGATGATGTAGAGACAACAAGGAAATACTGCACTGCTTAAGCCTGCCTATTCCTCTTCTTCACACCAGATTTTGCAACCTTAAGGCTTCTGTTTACAGCACTCAACCTTGCAAGAGCTGCCTTCTTCAAGTCTGGTCTGTAATAGTTGTCAGCAACCTGCATTTGATAGTATGCTATTAGAAGAGAACAATATGGGAGCTCCATTTAGCTTTAATGGTAAAACAATAATCAATTTCAATAAAGACTAGATATTTTGATTTCAATAAAAAATTCATTACATTGTAGGAGTCCATGCTCACAATTTTTTCATTGATGTGTGTGAGACAAATTATGCAATGATCTGAATAGAGTTAAAATCAACAGCTATAGAAGGGGAGAGATAAAATCCTACAATATACATCACTTCAATATACACAACAACCAATAGTTAGCCTATCAACCAATTTTGACTTATTTGATTACTATTAGTTGTTTGACTTGGTTAAAAATCAATATGAGTGTTTGATTAATTAGCTTTTTTGTAACAACTAATTGTTCCAAAATGCTAAAATTCAAAAAGCTACTCAAAGTAGCTTTTTTGATAAGCTTTTTGAGAAAGTCATTTTATATGTAATCAGCTAACAGCTACGAGTTAATTTACCAAACACTTTTCTACAATAAACAAATGTTATCAACTAGTCAAACCTACTTACCCAATCGGCTAACAGCCATTTACCAAACACCCCCAACATGAATTATCTAATCTAAATATGGGAGTAACTTTACAGGCATTTTTAAAATTTAACCACATCAGATTGGGGCCAATAGCTGCCTCTCTTATACTTATGGAACAAGCAATTAAATAATTCATAGAAACATCTTAAGATGTGTACTATCAACTTGGAGCAAGGTCTAACACATACCTGATTGGTAACAGCCTTGGCCATGCGGCGGAACTCCTTCTTCATGACAGACTTGTTATGCAACTTAGCAGGCTTGTTCTGCTTCTTGGTCTTGGTTGTAGCAAGAACCACAGATTGATCTTTACCCCCTTGAATGGTCACAGTCTTCTTGTTTGCCAATCCTGTTAACCAATGCCAACAACAAACAGACCACAGTACTTTAGCAAGGGTATGAAAGCATTAAACTTTGATACAATTAAACAGACCAAAGCTCAATGCACGTAAATCTAGACAGCTATGCGATTTCCAATCTCAAAACCTACAGATATCCTTGATTTGTTATGAAACGCAAGTTATTTCGTGTTTATACTGTCTAAGCAACAAAAATAAACCGACATTTGAGCTTTCATAAATGCAAGCAGAAGAATGGAAGAAACAATAAAAATTAAAACCAAAGTTTCTGACTAACCGGAGTGCTTGTAGGAGTGAAGATTGAAGAGATTGTTGGGCTCTTTGCTGAAGACAACACCGGCGGTGCCGTTACCGAACTCCTTGACTAAGAAACAGTTGTTCTTCTTCACGATCTCCCACACGAGCTGCCCCGGCACTATAGCCATTTCTGCAAATTCAACAAACAACAGAAAAAACAAATCAGAAAAAAGCAAGCGTTTGTTACAATACACAGACACATAACAGTGGCCGTGAAAATTTACCGATAGAGAAGAGGAGACTGCTAGGGTTTTGCTCCGATGCTACTAAGAGTGCGAAAGGGTCAAAATGAGAGACGAGAAAATATTGCTTATATAGTGAGTTTTTAAACCCTACCCTATGCGAAAACGGTCCGACCCGGGTCATTCGGGAAACCCAACCCAGTCTCGGGTCGGGGTTAATGTTGAGTTCGGGTTAATATAACTAATCAATGGATTTAATTCAATTTTTAGTCATACATTTATAGATGTTGGTCCACTTTGAGTCTTTTTTATCAAAATATCATTATTTAATCTTAGTATTATTTTGGTATAATCATTTTTTGTCATCCGTCAACAAAATCGTTGAAATTCTATTAAATACAATGACATTTCGATCTTCAATTATGATTTTTTTTTTAAAAAAAATAAACATAAACAATTTAGTTTATCAACATACTTTGTATTTAAAAAAAATATCAAAATGTCCTTATATTTTTTGGTCAATTCAATTATTTTGTAAATGGATGACCAAAAATAGTCATACTACAATAATACTAAAACCAAATGATAATATTCTGATAAAAAAGACTCAAAGTTGAGTGCCAGTCTGCTACCTATAAATCTAGAACAAAAAATAGAATTACTTCATTGATTATTTATATTATTTTTTCCCCTATGTAAATTTTACTACCCTTTTCTCATTGAACATGTGATAATTTATTCAACAAAATAAGTAATATTTGACCAGTATAATAGGATAAAATTCAAATTTCACCAGTGGTGAGGACTATGATAAGAATAGAACTCAAAACCATTTGCAATAGTTCTAAAGGGCCACATAATGGAGAAGGGGAAAGCAAATATAAACTCAGTTCCAAAAACTAAAGAACATCAGAGTTGTTAAAACATCACCAAAACCCAACATCAAATCCACTGTTCTTTACACCTTCAGCTAAGTACCTAACCTTAAATTTTATGTACACTGCAAAAGCAGCCCAACCTGGACAGAGCTCCATGTTTCATTTGAAACAGGTATACTATACTAAGCCACCTACAAACCAAACTTTCACACAAAACCTAAGCTCAATCCAAGAAAGAAGATTCAACCAATGCTGGGTGCGATAAGGCGGTGGGCTGGTCGTATTGAACTGTTAAGCGCAGCTTTAATTCTACTGAACACCACTTTCAAAGGAACGCATGCTATTGTGGGGCCTCTAAGCTGTTGTACTGTGGGGTTCTTCTCTCGATTTTGCTTGCGAGGACCAGTCAATGAAGACAACCTACGAACCTTCTTCGAGAGCATGCTTTCTTTCTTTGATTTTGATGACTTAGTTGATGAGGCGCGAGGTTGAAGCCTACCACCAAAACTTAGTTTCGTTTTGTTGACCATATCGACACCTTTTGGAGCAGAATCATCATCCAAGTCGTGACAGTTGCTAGCGCTCACGAGCAGTTGATCACAGAAGCCATCGTCTAAAACTTCAACAGCAAGCCGGTGACCCGTGATAGGCTGGCCGTTTAATTTGCTCATTAATGAAATGTAAGGGATATGGCGTGTGCGGTAGCAGGACTTGACCTCCACTTTAACATCAGTCAATGAAGAATCAGCAATAACGTGGTGCCTAAGAGAGAAATCGGGTGATTCATACTTAGGGTTAACCACAAAACGAGACAGGCGATAAGGCAGTGACCTTCGTGGAATAGGCAAATCAGCAGTTGGTCCCTTCATTTGAGATTCTTTGTGAGGGCTATTCCTGCTCCAATCTATGAAGTTACCCGTCCGAAAGTTTCTTTTTCCTTTTGATTGCCACTTCGAAGTCTCCTTCCCCATCCTCGGTCCACTATCAAGGATATCTGCATTACCTAAATTTGTACAACCCGACTCATTATGCTCACCACTTCCACAAGACATGGTTTCAACTTGACCACTTTCGCTAGATGGTGCTCCAGCACTGAACTCACCTTTCTGAGAAGCACAGGGTACAATTGGGGATGAGCCTGATGGCGAAACAAACACACAGCATAAGTATGACCAAGATACTATGAAGGTCGGCCACACATAGTGGACAACAATAAAACTCTAGTAGAAAATAATCTTTCCATGAAATTGATTAAGAGGTTTATAAGAAATACTAATCTCTGTAAAGGATAAGTGTCATGTAGAAAGCATCAAAATGAGCAGTTACAGAAACAGGACAGAGAACAAGATGAATTTGATAATGCAATTGAAACTAAAGGGACAGAATTTTTTGAAAAAGCTGGGAAAAGTTAGTTTTATATAATCTATAAAAACAAGACAAAAGTGCACCTCATACTAAATATTCACTAATACGAATAAAGATCAAGAGTAAATATGTTCAAACATCTGAAGACATCACCAACGAGTCAAATAACAGAAAAGGGGAATCATTTATACAAACAGTATTCTATCAATCAAAATATTATATTACTCTATACATATAACCATCAATAAAGAGAAAGGGAGGGAGGGAGGGGGGGTGGGGGGGGGGGTGGGTATGGCCAAACAACTTTTAGACGGTCAGTCATCTGATACAAATCAAGCAGGAAAGGAAAGTAATCAAATAGTCATTCAAGTGGTAGAATTCAAGGAAGCATAGAATAAGGGATTGACTGATTATGTAAATCCTTGCTTATTTTATGGAGCGGATAATTAGGGATTGACTAATCATGTAATCAATAATTGATGCTCCTACCTTATTTTACATATAGTAATAGACTATAAATAGGGATTATCTCTTAGAAGAGAGGGCATCCAACCATCTATTCTAAGTTCTATTATAGCTGTAGCAGCTGGACAAGAGCCTGAAACTCTTGTTGGAGGGTGTCTTAGTGACAGCCCTGTGCCTCTTTCCCATTCAATAAAACCATTTTATCTTTCTCTTCTTTTTCCCTGTTCTTTACTCTAACATCATCTCATTTCCAAAAAGATCTCGTAAAAAGTTACTGCAACATACTCGGAGGTAAACTATCACGTGAGAAGGTTAAGAATACCTCAGCAAAATTTAGTAAAGGGAATTTTGGTAAACAACCAATTTAGAGGGAACAAAAATTTTCTAAAATAACAGCAAAAAGTGAAATACAAAACAAGTGAATGTCCTACCAAACCAAGTATTTTCTTTTGGTACATAATTGGAAAATACTATAAGTGTCATTTATGGTTATAATTACCTTCCGCAAAGAAAGGAACATCAAACAACCTCCTTGAATAACCACTCTCAGCAAACTCCAAAGTTTCTGATATCTCATTCTCCTGCTTGCATTTACCACAAGAGTCCCCAGATGCATTAGATGATGTTCCATTTTCACATAATGCGCCTGCACTGTTTGATTTATTATTAATTACCATCGCCTTGCCATCGAGGGCTTTGTCAAGAGCTGCTCCAATAGGACTAGGAACTTCTTCACACATAATAGGAACCGATAACATGGCTGTACTCTGCAAAACCTTTGTCAAGGGACGACAGCGGCTTTTCTTTTTCAGACACTCATTAATGCGCACCACCTGAGATCTCTTTCTTTTCACCGATTGCACCACCCCCATCCCCAGGTCATCAAGACCTTTCATACGTTGAGTGCCTTCGATTCCATCATCTTCCGAATCATTTGGGGTCTTTTGCTGCCCCCGCACCCTACAATTTGTCCCCTCAAAGGATACACTAGAGTGCGATAATTTAGGTTTTGAACGTGAATTATCTTCAGAGCTACTATAATCCCCATTCACATTTTCAATTCCTTCTCGGGACGAAGCAGGTAACTCTCCAATAAGATTTTGCCCTCCATTTTGCTTATCTAATCCCAAAGAAAAACTGGGATTAGCTTTTCCAAGGAAACTTCTTTCAATCTCAAGAGCATGAAGAATGGCATCTTCTCTGCGGTTATATTTCACTGCCTTCCTAGAACCACTAGCTGCAACTAACAAAGCTTTCTCAATGCACTTATCATACTCCCCACAACGAAAAGCCCTAACTCGCTTAGAGTTCTCAAGATTATGCCAGTCTCTGAAACATCCATCAGTACAAACTTCCTCACAAATGTTTTTTCAATTCTAAAAATGATAATTGCAACCAATAAACAATTGTAAAAGAAAAACAGACAACACAAAAAGAAGAAGAAGAAAATCAAATAAAGGATTACAACAGATAAAATACTGTATTGAATTAAAGAGCAAAAAGGTAGGGAAAACACTTACATACATGTATCCTTTAATCCAAGGAGTTTAACTGGAGTTCCAGATCTCCCAGAAACCGAACTTCTCTCGGGCAACTCTTCCGGGCACAAAATTTGGCCCGGCCACCACTGTCCATTTCGCCGGCGGACCCAAACCAACCCGCTCGCCGGAACGTCAATGGGTTTAGCTCTGCACTCCCCAGAACTTCCCATGACTCTAATTCAACTAATGGTATGATGATTGATGGAAGAAACTAAAATTCATCAAAAATTCAATATGAACAGAACATTTCAAAGCACACGGGAGCGAAACAACTTGGCCGGCCTGCTTTTTGGAGAAAAATGCAGGTTCCTTTTCGTAAGCAATAGTAAAATATAAGTACTTGAAAGAAAATCTAAAACCACATGTCAAACCACCGGGGAGGGGGGGGGGGGGTGGTGGGGAACCACAAGTAGGCCTTGTTTTGGCGTGGTTAGCAAATATCCAATTATATTAAAATGATTTTCAGAAATCATTTTCCGAGTTTCTAGTGTTTGGAAAGGAGGAAAATACTAAAGTCAATGGAAAATGAAGTTTGGTCAATGGAAAATTGAGTCATTTTTACATAAAATGACTTACTTTTTTTTTGAGGGGAAGTCATTTTCCGCTTCATCTTCTTCGCATATGAGACTGCCAACTCCTCCTTCGCACAAGATCAGTGAAACCATGAACGCCCCCTTATTCGCACAGAAACTACAAAGACGACCAATGCGATATTCACCATCTTCTCAATCACCGGAAACCATTTCCGGCTGTGGGTACGAAAACCCACAGCCGGTAATGGTTTCCGACTTGGACCAAGCCAGAAACCAGGGAAACCATATTGGTTTCCGGCAAACTGCTCTAATTTTATTTTTTTAAATTTTTTTAATAAATTTATTGTTTAGAATTTTTAAAATAGATTTGAAGATTTGAAGATTATAGGACAAACAAAATATCTCTTTGCATTATAACAATCAAAATGATCAAGTATACAATTTTGTTCATTTACCTACTCATTTTATGGAAAATGAACCAAACACACAAAGGCAGTTTTCTGTTGTGCAGCCAAACACTAGAAAGGAAAATATTTTCCGGAAAATGAGTCATTTTTTAGAAAACATTTTCTCAAAGTCATTTTCCTGCTTTCCAAACGGACCCTTAGTGGATTTTACCAGTAAATTGTATCAACTATTAATAAAAATATTTGATAAAATTAAATATTTAAGTTAGCTATTAACATGTAAAATGATGAGTATACATATATTTTATAATAATAATTATTATTTAATAAATGAAATAAAATTAAATAATTTAAAAAAAAAACATAAGGAGAATATTGTTCGGTTCTTTTTAATTTTGTCGTTTTTTCTACATCGGTGGGAAAATTGATATATGAGCCTGGAAGCTTTTAAACATAAAGCTTGTGCATATGTTGATAGGTAAGCAATGAGCCAGCCAAACTGATTCTTACCTTCACGATTTCACGAAGTCAAAATAGTTCCACAATATTTTTTTTTTAATACATGGGTGTTTTGAGAAAATGAAAACATTTTTTTCAAAATGCTTAAGGACAAATATTGCAAATTGTAACGTTTGCATTTACAGTGGTTTGGAACAAATCGCTGAATAATCAAACGCTTTATTTAACGTTTTGACTAAGGTCAAAATACTAAAGTGACGAATCCACCATTTACCAAACATGATAATTTTAAAGTCTACAAATTCTATAATTTTTTATGAAAAGTTCTTGGGAAAGAAAGACATATAGGGGATATCATGACAACTGAAAATATATTTATGGGAAGATTGGGGGTTTTTCTGCAACACTTCCCATATTTTGCAAAAATATATGAAACCAATTTTTTTTTTTTTTCTCCCATCTGAAAGTAATCATCTTTATTATTTTCATTGTCTTCGTAATTTAGAGATGGATTTTATTTGGCTTCTCTTTTGAGTTTCACACTAAAAGTACACAGTGCATGCAATGCCAATGTGTGAGCTGTGAAACTGTGCAGACGATGGAAGAGAATGGGAAAAAAAAAAAAAAAAAAAAAAACTCCATGCTCCATAATTTATTTTTAGCTTGAAAAAAAAGGGTTAATCTTTGAAAGTAAAATTAGTTCACTTTAGATTACATTATTTGGGTAATGAATTTGTAGGTATGTTCTCGTGTAATTTAAGCCCGTTTATAAATTCAAAAAAATAACTTTTAAAAGTCATTTTTTAAAAAACTTTTATTATGAATGCTTAAATGCTTGTTGTAGTATTAATAGACTAATAGTAGTGGTTTGGATTTTTCGTACTTTGTATGTCGTGAAAGATTGTTAGTTTATTATTTGTTCTTTGCATATATTATGATTAGTCATGTAAGTTGATTAGTGAACTTGCACCACTTAAAGATTATTGGTTTATTATTTGTTCCTTGCGTATATTAGACACACAATTATTGAGTGAAATATATATTACCATTACAGGTTAAGTGATAATATGCTGAGAAAATTAAATAGTCATTGTTGATATCTTTTTAAGTCACTATATGTGTGATTGGGTGTTTGTCTTTTTAACCAAATCACATGGAAGTAGTGAAACAAAACTCCAAACAAACTTTTCATCTTATTTGCAGTCGATCCCCTTGTCTACTTCACAGCAAAAATCCAAAATCAAAGTACCTCTCACAAATCACAAACAAACATTTTAAATATTCTTATAAGCCACTTCTACGCTTTTAATGACTTATGGGTATGTTAGCTTTAAATGCAACAATTTATTTAGTAACGTTTTAACTTTTGAATTTATCTATTATAATTAGTCAAATATATAAAGTGAAATTAGAAAAGAGTAATAATAAAATAATTGAAATTTTTTTAAAATAAATAAAGTACAAAAATATTGCCATGCCTTTTAGAGCATCCATATTAATGAAGTTTTGTTGGGTTTTTGTGGGGTCTATGGTGATATAGAGGTGAGATAAGCAATTTTGATATATTGCAACTTATGATATTTTTGTGGGGCTTAAGGAGAGAGAAGGAGAAGATTGTTCGCAATTCGGGCGCGTCTCGCGCACAAAAGCGCTGCACTACATGGTAGGTTTTCTTTTTTTCTTCTTTTTCATGTTTCCATGTCAGATGGCTTTTTAAGTTTTTTCTTTTATTTCTTTTCCTCTCCCCTCTTTCTCATAATTGGGTCATAAAAAACTAAACTAGTATGGATACTCTTATTTACTTAGGAAGCTTGCTATACACCTAACACCTAAGCATTGAAATATATATATATATATATATATATATATATATATATATACTTTGGCATGACAACTCATCTTGCAAAGACTATCATTAATGCTTCATGAACCGAGAATTTAAAATTGTAAATCGAATCAGTGACCATACCTAAGAGCATCCCTAATAGGGGAATTTTGAATGATTTTTGCAGGTTAGGTTGCTTACGTGGAGGAGAGATAGAGAGAAAAGAGAAGATGTTGAGTGCTTGCGGCAAATTATTGTATGGACCATGTCCACACAATGTTATGTGGACCACAACAAAAAGTACATTTTTAATATACTAAATGTACATTATTTTTGTACTGAATATACATCATACAATATAATGTACACTCAGAACAAAAATAATGTATATCCCCTGTATACAATATACATTATTTTTGTACTGAATGTACATTATTTTTGTATTGAATGTACATTATTTTATAGTAGACAAAATATGGTCCACACAACTTGTGTGGATCATGGTTCACACAATAATGATTGGGGTGCTTGCAGGAGAACTTGATTTTTGGAAGAAAAGTGAAGCCCACTAAAAAAAAAAAAACCCAATCCTCTAGTGTGCGTGAAGTAGAGATGACCACGGTTCCGGTTTGAACCGTAGGTTCAAACCGGAACCGGGACTGTGCAAACCGGAACCGTCCGTACGGTTCTGGTTCCGGTTCTAAATCGGAACCTATAAGGTTCCGGTTAAGGTTTGTAAAATCTTGGAACCGGAACTGGCGGTTCCGGTTCCAAACCCAAAAAAAAAAAAAAATTATAGTATTTTTTTTAAATTTGTTTTTAATAATTTCGGTTAGAACCGGAACCGGAACCTTACTATAAGGTTCCGGTTTCACCATCCACGGAACCGGAACCGTGGTCACCCCTAGCGTGAAGCACACCAGAAACACCTAATCGGGCGCATTAAACTATATATTATTTTTTCTATTTTGCTTTTCAAATTTTGTTTTTGTTTTTTCCCCTTCATTCTCATATGATCTTTTGAAGATATTCTAAGAGCAACATTATCAGAGATTATTTTAGGGAGAATGTCACCTTACGCCCACAGCAGAAGCATGTTCCACACGCGCCTGCTGACGGCCACTCTGACTTTTGTTGAACTTTTTACTTTTTTATTAATTTTTTTTTCACCCACATTTTTATCTATTTCCTAATACATTTACAAAACCCCTCAATAATCGTATTAGAGATCCACTGTCATGGATGCTCTAAGTCACGTCGGTCAAACCTGAATCTGATTCGTGAACAAATGTTGACCGAACTTATGTGGCCAATGGCCAATCTCACAGTGACACCTCTAATTTCACATGTGCCTCACGCTCGAGTTTACCTGTTCAAAAATGGCGGAGGGCATGATTGCAGCATTTTTGTCACTTGCGTCTGAGAGTAATGCTGATTGTGTTTCATTCATCTTTCTCATCTGATTTCTGAAGCATGGTAACACACTGCACTCACTCAATCGCACTTCTCCCCTCTTCTCAATCTTATCTCCTCCCAAATCAATAGAAATCATGAGCTTCTCCCTCTTGATTTTTGCTCTTTTTTCGTTTTCTCCCGTAGTTTTGTCAGATTCTTCGTTTACACCCGAAGCCATCCCCGAGATTTTCCTTACTTTTGCCAAGAAAACTGAGGTTTCGGATTGGATGGTCGGGATCAGGCGGAAGATACATGAAAATCCCGAGTTGATGTTCCAGGAATTTAACACCAGTAAGCTTATCAGGGAGAAATTGGATGAACTAGGGATTCCCTACAAGCACCCATTTGCAGGAACTGGGGTTGTTGGATTAGTTGGTTCGGGAAAGCCCCCCTTTGTTGCTTTAAGAGCAGATATGGATGCTCTGGCCATGGAGGTACACTTCTACTTTTTCTCAGTTCGCTCCATTTCTACATGCTAAACTTTATTGGTTTTGATTGTTGTTCTTAATATTAGAGATTAAATCTTAGGGCAAGTTGGTCAATGATTCTGTAATCCCAATGTTACAAATTCGGAACAATTTATTGGCTTTTTTTTGAACCGGTCAGTTATAAGCAATCTAGGCTCGAACTAGTGAATGCATTCTTGAAAATTTTATCATTAAATGTCCTTTGATATTAGTGCCCAATATTTTGGGACATCCAAACAGTGAAAGGTGTGTGACCAGTAAAAGAGGATAAGGGAGTATATGAAAATTTCTGAGTTACTATGTAGTTGATAATGTAGTGGAAATTTCTGCCTCAGATATAGCATATTGCTATTAGAAGAATTGAGTGTATAAATTTTGAAGGTTGCAAATTTCCATAGGAAATGGTGGAGTGGGAGCATAAGAGTAAGATCCCTGGGAAAATGCATGCTTGTGGACATGATGCACATGTTGCTATGCTTCTTGGTGGCGCGAAGATTCTTCAGGAACATACAAATATGTTGAAGGTTTTACTTCTGCTCATCCCTTTTTATTTATTAGCCAGTCTATATTACATACAGGTTGTTTGGTGTATATATGGCACAGTAATGTCCAGAATATGAACATTACAATTCTTGTCAAAACCTGAAATAGTTGCCCGTACTTTTGACAGGGAACAGTTTTGCTTGTTTTCCAACCAGCGGAGGAAGGAGGGGCCGGGGCTAAGAAAATGATGGATGCAGGAGCGCTGGAAAATGTCGAGGCAATCTTTGGTATGCACGTGAATCCTTTGTTACCTGTGGGTGAAGTGAGATCCAGACCAGGGCCTCTCTTGGCTGGGGCTGGCATTTTCGAAGCTGTAATCAGTGGAAAAGGTGGTCATGCTGCTATTCCTCAGATCTCAATAGACCCGGTTCTTGCAGCCTCAAACGTGATAGTCAGCTTACAGCATCTTGTTTCTCGAGAAGCTGACCCTTTAGACGCTCAGGTTTATATCGATATCTTTCTGTGCCTCATGTCTTTGTGCATGACAACAAAATCTGTTGAGTCCCCTAACCACTACCTCACCTTTGGTATGGAGTTGGTTCTGATACTAAATTGAAGCATGTGCTCCATCTCAACTAAAAGCTTAAGCAGATAGCTGAATTATACATTTATGTTTATATATTATATGCTCAACACCTCCACAAACAGATTCAACTATGTTATGGTGGTAAAAGTTCATCAGGGAGAATCGAAATAATGTTTTGAACGCCATGCTTTCTAATAGTCACGTTTGCTTCAGTTTGAACCAAGGGCCTTTATTGCTTTATTCATCATTGTTCACGTGTGCAGGTAGTTACAGTTTGTAAATTTGAAGGAAGTAGTGCGTTTAACGTTATCCCTGATTCTGTCACCATCGGTGGCACTTTCCGAGCCTTCTCAACGGAGAGCTTAATGCATCTGAAGCAGCGTATTGAGGAGGTAACACTCGTATTTGTGAATGATTATGAGACTGTGTTGGTACTTTTACATCCTCTGAAATGCTATCTCAGTTGTCTAATCACACGATAAAGAAAACTAGTTCTTTCTACTGACAGGTAATCGTAGGACAGGCCGCTGTTCAGAGGTGCAATGCAACTGTTAATTTTTTCGCAGATGACAACCTGATTAGCCCGCCAACCGTAAACAACAAAGACCTGCATAATCACTTCGAGAAAGTTGCAACTGACATGCTCGGAAGCTCCCACGTTCAAGCCATGGAACCGCTTATGGGGTCTGAAGATTTCGCGTTTTACCAGGAGACAATGCCCGGTTACTTCTTCTTTCTCGGGGCAAAGGATGACACGAACATAAAACTCGCATCAGCACACTCCCCCTACTTTAAGATCAGCGAAGACGCCCTACCTTATGGCGCTGCACTTGGTGCATCATTGGCAGTTAGGTATGTTCTTGAAAACCAGCCAGAAGATGCTTTACTGAATAGAAGAAATCACCAAGAATTGTGAACCCATCAATGGAGATCCCATCTGCATTTATCTGTACTGGTAGTGGTTGGACTTGGACAGTATCATGACAGACATCTCTGATCTCTTTGTAATATTTTGTACATTTATTACTCCTTACATGTTTACAGGATAATCATATACAAAGTTCCTATTTAATTTAGTTATTTACATGAATTATTCTTTTACATCTTTGTCAAAAATGTACTAAAATGCCATTTTCCTAAAGGTTTTATTTTTATTTTTTATTTTTACCTATCTGCATTTTGTAAGTTGAGATTATGAAATTAATGGCTCACACGAGCAGTTCAGTTAGAGTCACAAAGAATTACACCTAATTTTGGACTAGTGTCCACCTTGAAACGAGGCGGCAAATTATGGTGTGGACACGGTTCCAAAATTGTTTATAATTGTGAATATAGAGTTAAAAAATTATGAATATAGAATTATGTAATTGTGAATATAGAGTTCAATAATTGTGAATATGAAGTTAAAAAATTATGAACATAGAGTTCTGTAATTATGAATATAGAGTTCAATAATGGTAAATATGAAGTTCAAAAATTATGATCATAAAATTTTATAATTATAAACATAGAGTTCAGTAATTATGAATATAGAATCGACTTTACCTTGGAAGGTGACATGGTTCCATGGCATAACAATTGGAGACGAGGCAAATAACAAAATATTATGAAATTAATGGACCCAAAACAAAATTATGAATCAAAATTGGAATTAATTATTTACTTAATTTAATGGGCATTTTAGAGAATGGATGATCCAGTTCGATGCCTGACCCGATTGCGTAATCCATTCATTTCGTCTGGATTACGAGCTCACTCTCACAGCTTCTTAGCCCAACAATGGCGGCAGTGCCGAGCTTTGGCCTCCGCCGTCTACCTTCACGGCCATGGCTACACAGCCTCTGTTCCACGAGAAGACCAGCTCCTTCTCCACGTTCTATCTCGATACTTTCTTCTCTCTCCTCAGTCGAAGACACCGACGACACTCCGCTGAACACAACAGCAGAAAAACCTAACAGTACTACTAGCAGTAACAACAGAACTGATAAGGCGAAAAAGTCATTTTTTCCTAGGCGAGGGCAGACCTTGGAGCTGGTTTGTGAATCTCTAGCTTTCAAAGGCAAAGGCCTTTGCAAGGTCGCCGATACTGGCTTCGTGGTAATGTGCGACCGTGCTCTCCCCGGAGAACGCTTCATTGGCGTCGTCACTCGCAAAAAAGACAATTATGCTGAGGTTCTTTGCGTATTTCCATTGCCATTCGCACGAAGAAGCTGAATTTTATATATGTATTTAGTTTTTTGATACATTATCTATAAGATTGGGTTTTCAAACTTCAAAAATGGTTAGCAGTAGGTGCTTTGAGTTCTTTTAAGTTTTAAGTTTGTTCCTTGTAGGTGAAAATTTTGGAATTTGATGAGATGATTAATGATGTTATGCTGGTTGATGACGACAGGTTAGGAAAATGAAGACCATTACACCTCATTGGGACTATGTTGAAGCACCATGTGAATATGCTTCACATTGTGGAGGTTGCAAGACCCAGAATTTATCATACGAAGCTCAGCTCAAAGCCAAAGAGCAACAAGTTCGTGAGCTTGTTGTACATGTAGGCAAGTTCTCAGATCAAAATCCAGAATTTGCTCATGTGATGCAACCCATTGTTCCTTGTGATATCCAGTTTGGGTATAGAAACAAGGTTCGTAAATGGTTCAGCTCTTTTGATGCAGTTTGACATTTTATTTTATTTGTTTTGGTTTTTGAAGTTTACCTCGCTACTTTGGAGTCTTGGTAAATGAGTAAATAAATAATAGTAGCTCTACTCTTCTTTTTGGAAATGGTGTTTGGCATTTCTATTTTAATCTCCAATTCTCCATTGAAAGGATCTCAGTTTAGAATGAAGAATTGAATGCAGTTGTATGCATATAAATTTGCTGATAGTACAAAATACATTATGTGGTGTTAGTGGAGCTCAATAATTTTTATTTAGTTATTGAATTTTTTGGGGGTCGATGTAAAACTTTGTTGCGAAGAAAGGATAGTAAATAGAGTATAAGAAGTGAAGAACCACAGAGCATATGGAGTATTATTTGAACTGTTAGATTAATGCTATAATATGCTTGACCTTATTGTTGCTCTATGGAACTTTTCTCCCCTTTTTAAAATTACTTTAGTGGGTAATTTTCTTTGCCTACATTCTGAAGATGCTGTGCTGATGGTCTACTAAAATGAGACAAAATGAGCATTGTGATCTATTGCTGTGGAAGTCCTTGACACCCTCTGAAGTCTTGTTTGTCACTTATCCCTTTTTTTTTTTTTGTTTTGTTTTGTGGGGGGGGGGGGGGGGGGGGGGGGGGTTGCGTGTAATTTCTGGCTTGTTTCCAGTCAGTCGCCAAAATTTGATTGTAAACCAATCATAATTTCCTCTTTATCTTGTGATTATACTTCTAGCAAGGTGAGAGATAAAGGTAGAAGAATAATTTTTCACGACTTTAAATTCATCTTCACATTTTTATTCCCTTGAGATGCAGATGGAGTTCTCCTTTGGCCCAAAAGGCTGGATACCTGCAGAGCTGTTACAAGAATGCAAAAATGCTAGAGAATATGCTCTAGGCCTGCATGCTCCTGGATTTTTTGATAAGGTTCTGAACGTCAACAAATGTTTATTACAAAGTGACCCAGCTAACAAGGTAAGCTGTTTTCTTTGGGTATTTTCTTTTAATTAAAAAAAAAAAACTTTATACACAACAAGTCAGTATCCACATAATTTAACTAGAAGTTGTGGTCTTAACTGTTTCGGATTCTTACCATTTTAACGAGTGTATGTCAAATAAGATAGTTTCCTTAGTGCTGTCTCTATGTAGTTTTCACTTAACAAACAAAAAGCTTCTAACAAGTAAGCACACCACTCTAACCCCTGTATCATCTTGACCTACATTTGGAGTTCTTCAAAAATTGGAAACTAGATATGAGAATGAAAAGACTCAAGAGTAAATAAGATTTCTGATTAGAATGAAAATGACTTGTTTCCCCAGCGTTTATAATTTAATTATATTATTTACTTTGGGATGGGTATCCTGCGCTACTTTCTTCAGCAAGTTGTTGTCCATATAATTGGTGTACTGCTTAGGTTTGACGCAAGATTTGGCTTTATTAATGAGAGTTTTAAAGCCCTTTCCTATATGAATCTATGAGTCTATTTCTGATTTAGGTTCTTGCAACTGTGCAACAATATTGGAGGGATCCGGAGTTTGGCCTTTCTCCTTATGATGTCCACTCTCATTCTGGCTATCTGAAACATCTAATGCTGAGAAGCGGCAGGTACTTGTGTTAATATCTTATTATTCATTTTTCCAGTTGGTGTGACAGTGAACCTAATGTTGTTTTGGGTTCTCGCACTTAATTCTCTCATTTTAATGTTAATATAAAATGGGGTCAATTCCTTTATTTGGGAATGGGAATATGTAAGGAACCAAAGGAGAAGTCTACTGATATCTGTTTTAGAGACAAAAAAGCATGAAGCTTCAACCATTTTAGCCATTTTGTTAAGCTGTCTAGGAAAATATGTGTAATTTTAAAATTTTGATATTTGGAGGTCAAAGTTAGTCACAGATCTCATTTTTGACAAAATATCTATAATTTCGGTTTCAGGAATTGCAAAACTGGTCTTCCTGAGCTTATGGTTAATTTTGTGACCTCTTCGTACAGCCCAGAGCTATTGAAATCCATTGTGGAAAAAATTGCAACTATCCCTGAAGTGGTAAGCTAACCTGAAACGTTAACTGCAAAATACTTTTTATGTTGTAGTGTGGAGAAGCACTAATATCCAGATTAGAAGAGCTGATCTGGTACAATTGACTATTCTAACTTTGTCTGACTGCATATGCTTTAACTAAAATGTCTGTGTAGGTAATGCTAGAGAAGCACCTTTTAGTTTTCCATTCATATTTTGCTCTGTTGATGTCACACAGGTAAGCATTGTTAATAATGTGAATACGTCTATAGGCAACACATCTGTTGGCGAGGAAGAATACACATTGTATGGCAAATCTTCTATCACTGAGACTTTAAGAGGGCTTACTTTTCAGATTTCAGCAAACTCTTTCTTCCAGACAAACACACATCAGGTAATTCTTTCACAACAGATTGGCACTAGTTTTTAGAATAACCCTAAGAGGATTTTGGGGGTGGGGTGTGACCATGGGACAAACAGTAGAAGATTCCCTTTTGTAGTTGTGAACTAATGATAAGGTGCAAACTCTCTTTGCAGGCAGAGATTCTTTACAAATTAATTGAGGACTGTGCCTCTCTCAAAGGAGATGGCTCAGAAGTTGTTCTTGACCTATTCTGTGGGACAGGAACCATTGGTCTTACACTGGCCAAAAGGTAATTTCCTGTTGTTTGAACTGGAGGGGGTGGTGTTTCACTGATCTCAAACTAACGAATATTTTCTTGATAGAGTGCGGCATGTTTATGGTTATGAAGTCGTTGCTCAAGCAATCTCAGATGCAAATCAGAATGCAAAGCTCAATGGAATCTGCAATGCAACATTCATTGAAGGAGATCTTAATAAGATTGATGAAAACTTTGGCAGCAATTTTCCCAAGCCTGACATTGTCATTACAGGTCTTTAATGATTTCTTTGGTTGAATATTTTAATTTCTCTGTGTATAGAGAATTAGAGTAATTCCACTAAAAATAATAGAAGGCAATAACAATTAACAAAGCAAAAATAGAGTAATCAGGGAAATTGGGTTTGTGGTATGATACTGAAAATAATTGTGACTTATTCCCTTGAAATAGTTTAAGTCATGGCATCAACCACACAAAAGTAGGAGCCAGAAACTTGATAAACTAAAGAAAAACAATTAAAAGAAAAAATAAGAAAAAAAGTTAGTTGAACCAAAATGTTGAAAGGTAGAAAGCGTCCCATGGTTCTTATAAGATGTATGTTGCAATACAACTATCAAATATGAGTACTTGGTATCCTTGGGATTGTCTGATTTGATCTCCCACAAGACTTGGGGGAGTAAATATATTTATACCTGTTTTTTCACATTATTTATGTAGGAAACCTTATGCTGATAACCTGAATAACAAACATTGTATCGCGGAGTAACTACTGCCCTAGAAGCAAATTTGCCGCTGCCAATGCATGCTTGCAAAAGTAGCGTCACCCCCCACGGTTAATACAATGGTATCCATAATTGTGCACCCGGTTCAGAGATGGAAACTTACACTAACTCAGAGTAGTTGAAAGGATAAGTGTATGTCTAAACTCATGGACGGTCTCCTTTAAATATTGGAGGCCAAAAGAATATGACAACATGTTATCTAAAGTAGGGATGGTAATGGGGCAGTGTAGGGGCAAGGGCATGAGCCATATCCCCGGGGCCCCGTCTCTGCCCCCACATTCTCACCCTCAATCCTTGCACCTGCACCCACACCCGCATGGGGATAAATCCTCTTCCCATACCTGCCCTCGTGATACCCATGATGGCGAGGAATCCCTGCTGCGTTATTTTTACTATTAATATCACAATTTTTTAATACATAGAGAAAGTGATAATTTCACAAATTTAAATTTAATATAAAATTTATAATATATTTGAACAATAAAAATATCTAAAACACTTCATTAATACATTATATCTCAATAATTAAAACACTAAAACATAACTACAAATTATAAATACTAGAATTATTTATAAAAATTTAAATATAGAATATAATATATAGTAGTAGATATAATATATAATATTACACACACACGGGTGTGGGTGCAAGGATGGAGCGGGGATACCTCTCGACTCAACATACCTGCATAAGTAAAAAATGTCCCACCATTAACCAAATATTGTGGGTATCTTATTCCATATTGGGGCAGGGAAATGAGTAACTCATTGGGTGCGGTTTCAATTAACCAATTAACATCCCTAATCTAAACAAATCGTACCCGTGCACTAGCTTGTGGATGAAAATAATCCAAGACAATTATTGCTTAATGCCTTAATTAGTTTACAGATGTTAGGGACAGTGTTAGAAAATACACAGTCAACTACCCTAACATCTATAAACTAACTCAACAATATTTGTCGTGATTATTTTTCATCCACAAGCTAGTATGTGGCCAAGATTTCCTTGGATAATATGTGGTCATATTCTTTTGGTCTCTAGTATTTGAAGGGGATTGTTCATGAGTTCAAATAGACTAAGATTGTCTTCCCACTTTTCCTCTTTCCTATTGAGTTATTGGTATGTTTCTATTTTTGAACTAGGTGCACGGTTGTAGAGATTGTGTTAACCTTGGGGGATGATGCTGGTTTTGCAAGCCTGCAGCAGTAGTGCAAATTTGCTTCTAGGGCAGTTCTTACTCCACAGCATAGTGGTTGTTATTCACATTATCAACATAAGATTTCCTACAATCTAGAAATGATTAAATGAATGTGTTGATAGTAGTGAATTTTAGAATCTAGTGCAAATTTGCTTCTAGGGCAGTTCTTACTCCACAGCATAGTGTTTGTTATTCACATTATCAACATAACATTTCCTACAATCTAGAAATGATTAAATGAATGTGTTGATAGTAGTGAATTTTAGAATCAACCAACACAATTTCTCTATTTTTGTTCTCCTAACATGAGCCACCAAAGTCCATTCTTGGGTATTAATGGAGGAGTCTTATTCACCTTCAACTTTATCTTGGGACTACCTCTGTTTATTCCTCTCTGCCCATTTCTGCCATGACCTTTTTCTTATCTTTACCTCTTCTGGTTTTTGGATTGGAAGTTGTGTTGGTTCATGTTCCTCTTGTCCAAGAAATCTTTGGTTTGGAAAAAAAACCCGTCACACCCAAATCAAGAAATTGTTGGCAGTTCACCCAATTTTGCAATGACTATGCCCAGAATTCTACTTCTCAATGAGTTATTGGTTGCCATGGATGCAAAAATTGCAATCCCAGATTCTTGTAAAAGGTCTCAGTCTTGACTTACATCTAAAAGGGCTAATAAATTAAAGCTGAGATGGCTCCTAAAAACATGTATCAGGTTGTAGAACTGGTGACAGTGGTGAGGGAGGCAGTTGAGGACAGTTGCAATGCCCAACAAAGAATATTGTAATACTTTTATAGTCTTAGTTGAGACTTGAGTCACCTTGAAGATATAGAAACCTTTTTTCTCCTTTTTAAAGGGTGATCGTGATGCTTTGACATAACCAACTTTGTTGAAATGGGTTCTACTAGTGGTTATTATCTAGTCACTAAGTATGGAACTATTATAGAATTTGGATAAGTAAATCTGCATAGCTGTGGTCCACTAAGAGTCAATATTAGTACCAAAGACCAAATTGGGTGAGTGGTTGAGTACTTGAGAAATTTACTAGTAAATACTGCTTTGTGGGAGGTAACTAGCTCATTATATTTCACTATTTTGAATCTCTCAAACTATTGTTAGTACTAACAAAATAATGTCTACAAGGATAAAAGTGAGTTTTATGTTAAGCATGCAAATCTTAAGGTAACGACTTGGGAGTAAATAAAAATACTCGTTAGGATCAACTTATCTTAATAAAGAGACTAATTATAAAGTTAGTTGTCGATTTGTTGAGGGGAATGACTTAAAACCCAGTAGGTGATGAATTCGTTGAGTCGTAGTGGTTTCCACTCTAGCGGTCAAACAAAGCCATGGAAAGAATCACAAATTAGTGTGAGACCAGTGGTCCTACTAAGGCGGACTTGATGTATTCACTACTTATCCGAGAGGTTGGGCATACATTGCTCTTAATGATTTTATATCTCTATGACTCTATTCTCTAACTAGGTAGTTTATGTTGAGATAGACTTAATGAAATCGCCTACTTGAGTGAGATGGGTTAGCTGCCTTTTATGAAAGACGATGTGTTTTCTTTCTAGAGCACTCATGAGCATCCTGAGGTTCAATTGGGCTAAAATATATGTTATTTATCGTGGAACTTGCACAAGTTCTAAAGGTGAGATACATGCCGCTGTAGTAAGTCTCCAATCTAATAGTTCAAGATTCATTACTCACTAAATGGGAGAATACTTTGTCAGTTTGTGTCACTACGTGTTAGTTCAATCCTTTACACACTAGCACTTAAGTGTCAAGTCTTTGCCCTAAGTATTTTCTCCGTCATCGTGCCTTTGCATTTATGGGGGATTTTCGTAAAAAGTTAACTACCCCTAGTATCTATAAACTAACTCAATAACATTGTCTTGGGTTATCTTTCATCCACAAGCTGGTGTGTGTGATCATGATTTGTTTAGATAATATGTGGTCATATTCTTTTGGTCTCTCGTATTTTGTTCATGAGTTTAGATAGACCAAGATTTTCTTTTCACTTATGCTCTCTACTACTTTGAGCTTTTGTGAAAGTTTCTATCGTTGAATCGGGTGCATAGTTACAAAGATTGCTATGTAAACCTTTGGGGTGGGGGGGTTGCTTTTGCAAGCCTGCATTGATAGTGGCAAATGGTTACTCCATGACACAATGTTTGTTATTCATATTATCAGCATAATATTTCCTACAATTTATACTTGTAATTTGAGTGCAATGCTACGGTGCAAGATTTGCTGACAGTAGTTCATTGTGTCGCACCTGTAGATCCAAATCGTCCAGGAATGCACATGAAATTGATTAAGTTTCTGCTACAGTTGAAGGCAGCTCGCATTGTCTATGTATCATGTAACCCTGCCACTTGTGCTCGTGACCTTAATTACCTCTGTTTTGGTGTAGTAAGTATTTCAACTCTTCTATATCTCACTTAATAATGTCTCAATTTGGTTGTTCCTGAAGTCCTTCACATGGTTCAATTTCAGCCTGAGAAAAATATAAGTGGGTGCTACAAGCTTAGTAAATTGCAACCAGTGGACATGTTCCCGCATACTCCTCACATTGAATGTGTTTGTTTGCTGGAGCTTCTTTGATAATCGGTGGCAACAGAAGCAGAGGAAATTCAGAGAGATATGGACGCAATCTGTGCAAGTGCTTCCAAGATCATTCTTGTTCTCAGGGTGTGGAAACTGGAAAGGTCACACTGAATGAGGCGAATTGGCATAATATAGTTGGAATGCTCCCATTTTTGGTTTGGGAAGTGCGCTGAAGGGCTTCCCGAAAGGATTTTAAGTGGAGCCATGCTTCAAGGCAGTCTTGGTTTATTGTTTTTCTTGGACAACAGCAAAGAAACCGACGAGCCAAAAAGCTTAAGGTGACATCTTTTGAGTATGGAGTTCACTTGCTGCTTCGCCATACAATCCTCGAATGATTCTAATTCTTATACTAACACAAATGGATCCCTTGAGGTATGTCTCTGCTATGCTCTTGGTTTATTCATGTATTATAGTTTAGGTTATTCGTAAACTTCAGTTGTGACAAATGCTATTCATTGGTTTATACGGAGTATATGAATTGAAATTACCAATCATACCATCTGTTAGTAATTTGCCTCTAGGTAGAGTTGTCACTGGTAAGTAAAGGAACAAAGCTGGTGTGTAAATAAACTGAAAGATTAAAAAAAATGTCAAATGGAAACAAGAAGATGATAAAGCAAATCTCAAATGAAGTGATTCAACTGCAGAAATCTTTTGTTGAATGTGGACATAATCCATGCAAATCGAAACCTACAGATTCTGCACTGTAATGGCTCAGTTTGAAACCTGGAAATTGCAGGTCACCTATTGGTTGGCTACTTGGCTTGATTTTTTTTTTTTTTTTTTTGAAATCTAAAAGTAGGTTGAGCAAGCAATGTGGCATGGTGTATACGAATATATTAGCCTATTAGGGTGGGTATGTAATTAGTTTGTAGACATTATAATGTTTGCAAGAAAACTTTATTGACGTTGCACTTCACCATTCATTCCTCATCCAGTTTGTGCATACGAGTTTTATATAACCTAGCAAAAGTGGATTTTAATATTGTTCGCAAAAGGTTGAATTTCCAATCTCAAGGGCCCTTCACGCCCCAACCCGGCAGAACATTTGGAAGGATGTAAATCATGGTAACTCAAACACAAAGATCAAACCTTTGCGTTATTGTCCCTAAACTTCATCTCTGTGACCAACTGAGCTGATTTAATTTGAATCTTGTTAATTGTGTGTTAGATTTTTTTTGATTGATGGAATTAATATCATAGTAACAAACTATAGACTTATAGTAGCATGCAAACCTTATCTAAAGTTTTGAATTTTGGCTTGGTAAAACTATAGTTTAGAAATAGCCCCATGATCCCAATTTAATTTTTAAAAATATTTTAAATTGTAAATAACCACTTGTAATTTAAGTCAATTTTTTTTTTTAAAAAAATTTTATCCAACTTTTGACTTTTTGTTAGGGAGTACAATTATGGGCAATTTTCAATATTTTTAAAATTCACTTGAACTGCCTATTTAATTATTTATTTTCACTTTCAAGCTACCCCAACAATTTCTTCAACTATGAACTCAACTACCTTAGTTACAACCTGAAATACTATCTGTCTATTACCAATAAAGTCCAAAGTGTTAACCTGATCCGAACTCAAGCCACCTTTGTAGCTAGTTAGCTACTACTAAAGTTTGTCATTTAAATTTATGAGAATAGTCTTCTATGAAACTATGACGTGTAATACTTTTTAAATATTTTTTATGAGGTGGCGTGTAATACTTTTGAATTAAAATACAATAATTTTTATGAGTTTATAGAAAAAATATTACTCCATCTGTCCCATTTTATTGTTCATTGGTGAAATTAATTGTTTCAGTTAACAGACTTAACTGAAATTATTTAAACAAAATTTACTTAATTTTTAAATCGTGTAATCTTTATCTTAAAAGCATTAAAAGAACAAAATGCATTCCATCCTTATCCAGCATCAAGACCCATATTTCCTACAATTAAGATTTTGTTGGGTGGTGATGAATGATGAATGGAGAGATATACCCAGAATTTGGGAGCCAGCTTGGAAGCTGTAGGATTAGTACCACAATGGGAATGGGGTTGGTTGAATGTGGGGAAACTTGGGATAGCGACGAACAGTTGTGAAAGGTACAACACAATACAGCACCCACTCCGGCCCCGCCGGCCGGCCGGCCGGCATTTCCATGAATTCAGCTCACCTCATTGATTGCGACTTCCATACGTACATGCATGTACATGCCCCGATTTAACCACTAGTTGACTCGCTTTCAAATCAAATCCGGTTTGGTTTGCACTCCAATAATAAAGGATCACACATGGCTGACTTTAATTTCCAATTCCCAATGTAGATGTAACTCTCACTTTACTTGTGGATTAGGGAATCATGTTTGTACCACATTATATTTAGCCAGGGTAACCATACAAAAATTTGTCGGGCTGATATTGATATCTTTAACATTGGGTACTATTATATAGTTTTTTGGAATTGTTCGTATAAGGAATTGTGAGAATAAGAGTTAACAGTATTTAGTATAATCTCAAAAGTATACATGCATATGATTGTACTATGTGCAAAAAAGGCACTATATATGTCAAATGACTGTTTAGAGTTTTCTTGCATTTTATATGTCCAAACAACAGTTAGTTATGATCATGACTTTTAACGGTGACGGGTAAGTCGTTAGGCTCAATTGTGAGCTTTGAATTCGAGTGTTTTATCACAATCATTCAACTTTCCTCTTTTACTTATCGGAATGCGTAATTAATTCATAACTTTTGACTTACTCAAAGACGACTGAACCTTCAAAGAGTTCTAGAGAAATCGTTATTCTTATAAATTCAACTCCCTGTGAGAGTTGTTTATTGGTCTTATTGGTTTAAATGATCAACTATATGCAACATATACTAGTTTACCCATTATGTTCATTTGTCGATTAAGATCACAAGACAGATTTCATCTAAAACACACCTTCAATTAGCAACTGCAAAATTTTTCATAAATTAAAGAAATGGCTATTCTTACTATAACTTTCAATATCAATGCACTCTATTATATTCAATAATTAAGAAAATATTAGCAATGAGATTCAAATTTAAGTCATTTAAGAGATGTTGTGTCATTGTTTGAAATTCCTTAGCGATATGATATGATGTTGGGCTTTGTACGTACGTCCATGTCCTTAGCCGACAAGATTCGATCACGAGGCTCATAATTTCTAGTAACTTATATAGCTTCCAATCTTTAGTGGCTAAGGACAATTTGGAAGTTCCAATCAAATTAAAAGCTTTCCGACAAATTTGACAAATCTGCAATACATTTCCCCAAAAGCACACCAATGTATGGTTTAATTTTATGCGAAAACTGTAAAATCAAGCTATTTTGATCTGACCTCGATTTAGTTTAATTATTGAACATATAATATCTAAAATATAAATGTATAATTTAACTATATCATTTTAAATTTTTAATTGTTGTTTTTATTATAATTTGTTAGGCACAATTAAGTCATATTGGGTGATTAATGGATATAATCAGTATAATTGGTGTTGTTATGATCTCGTGTGTATTAGATAATGTGTTTCATTTATTTATTTATTTTCTTAATTTTCTTAATATCATAGTTATAAAAATTGAACAAGGACTGACACACAAATGTATTTCGTAAGTATTTGTACTACCCATAAATAAAATTTATATTAAATTACTTATAACTACAATTAATGAAGCTAAGATAGGCCATAATACCAAAGATTACATATAGTCAAGATTGACTCCATACATCAACAATGATTTCATGCTTAGCCAATAAGTTAAACTACCATTGGTGCAGTGCTTGTCTTTATTGTGATTATAATATAAGTTTATGAAAAATGTGCTGGATACCGTATTATAATAATATTTTTTTTTAAGTGATAAGAAAAATTCATAATTACTATCTGAAGATGTTCATCCATATCAGACATACCATGTATAATAACCCGCAAACCACATAAGAAAGGTAAATCGTACTAGGAATGCCTCACTCCAACATTCAAATATAAAAATCATTAACCACCCACTTTGCCACTCATTTTGAGACAATAATAATTTTTCTTTTTCCCCTTATATTATCACAATAATATTTTTTCTTATACAATTATAGAAAATGAACATCAAACTTTAAAACTCTTACATAAAATTACAAACTTATATATACAAAATTCAAAAATCTTTGAAATGTTGCTCAGCATTGGAAGTGTATAGAGACATAAATGTGATTTAAATTTATTTTTTAAAATTTTTTGTAATTACATAAATTGGCAGATTGCCTGTTTGAGTTGAATCGAATCGGACGGCAGAGGCGATGAGATGGTCCCCTACACCAAAGCCAATCACCATCACCAGCCGTCAATCGATCATCCACGTGGGACAGAGATTTCTAGATGAGTATCCCTCCAATCAGACCACGCCACGTGTGAATAAGACTCCAAGTTCACGTGTTGACCGCAGCTCCGGGACCCGCCGACTTATTTAGCTTAGCCGAGCCGGGCTGAACGAAACGGCTTGAAAGCGACGCCACGGAAGCCGACAAGTCGACAACTAATATCCCTTCAGCGCAAGCGTGTAAACGCATCTGGATAGATTGAAGGGATAAGCGTGTGGATTGATGATTGATGGACCACTTCTTATGTGGGCCAATTCTCTTTTAAAGCCGGCCCAAACCGGAACTATACCATTCATTATTGCGTGGATTGACTATCCGAAAATACATAAAGTACATTATTTCAATTCTTAAAATACATTATTCTAACACATAAAGTATATTAGTTTAACTCATAAAATGCATTACATTACATAATAAATTTCATTATTATAACACATAATTATACATTATTCTAAACTCATAAAATACATTATTTTATCCCAAAATTTTTATTATTCTAACACATAAAGTACATTATTCTAACTCAAAAGACACATTATCTTACCCCTAAAATGTTCATCATTCCTACACACATGTGGAGCATTTTTTTTTTTTAAACATCAAAATAACATAATTTTGAACTATAGTCATACAGCTATGTAGACCATGCTCCAATTCCACAATAATTTGCCCGAACTATACTATACATTCTAACATTAATGACTACGAGGCGTTTGGTTTAACGGTGGGTAATAAAATCAACTATTTAACGATGGAAATTGATTTTAGTAAAATTTAGAATTTTTTTTAACACTCCATTGACACTAATTATATATCAACAATGATACTTGATACAATTAGGAATATTGTACTTTTATTATTATTATTATTATTATTATTATTATTATTATTATTATTTTGAGAAAAACCAATTCAATTGCTTAAAGAAAGAATACAGTGAAGAAGGGAATACTCCCACACACAAGGAACATTATTCGAATGGGCAACCCGAGCTAGAGTATGAGCCTGCTCATTCACTGATCTATTAACGTGTCTTACAACATATGCTTGAAAGCTAGACAAAATTCTACGATATTCCTTGATTGCAAAATTTGTATATGAATGATCCA